AGCTGAGAGCATTTAAAAGTTACAGTTCATGGGGCTTCCCTGGCGATTCCGCTGTTAAGATTTTGCCTTCCAATGCAGGAGGTGTAGATTTGACCCCGGTTGCTGAGCTAATATCCCACATGCCTGGAAGCCCAAAAACCAAAACATAGAAGCAATCTTGTAATAAACTCAATAAATGCCCCACATCAAAAAAATCTTTTAAAACGATACAGTTCCTGAAAGTTTGTGACTGTGCTTTGCTTTCCGGTTTCCTGGGGGCAAACACCACCCCCAGGTAAACCCAAGGAAGGGCCGAGGGATCCCTCCTGCTGCCCCATCACAGTAACAGAGTGAAAGAAAGTGAAAAGTCACTCAGTTGTGTCCGACTCTTTGCGACCCCATGGACTTGGAATTCTCCAGGCCAGAATACTGGAGTCAGTATCCTATCCCTTCTCCAGGGGATCTTCCTGACCCAAGAATCAAACCGGGGTCTCCTGCATTAGGAGGCAGGTTCTTTACAGCTGAGCTATCAGGGAAACTGAGCTATTAGGGAAACAGTAACAGAAGCAAATGGATAATTGAATTCAAGTGCTGGCAGCTTTTCTGTAATGTTAGCAGCAGAACCGTGTTTAATGGTGGGCTAATGACTGGAATTCTCCCCTCTCCCATCATTTATATTGTCTAATGGGTCTGAGAAGGCCTGGTAGATACATTCCTTTGATATGAAATGGTCCGCCATTGTTCAGACAGAGGCACTTGCTGACTCTGAATGCTTTATGGCCTTTGTTAAGTTTTACTGAGTCAAGTCATCAAATCAGAGCTGATGTAACTTGATGTGATTCTCAGCAGATGATCAATGAGTCCGGATCTCCTTTTATTTTTACAGAAACCAGTGAACTGGGGGGTTGGGGCACTGCAGCAAGGTAAGTTTGGTTTAGATACAGCAGGTCCTTGGATGAGAAGCAGATGAGATAGTTGGATGGCATCACGGACTCGTAGGACATGAGCTTGAGCAAGCTCCGGGAGTTGGTGATGGACAGGGAAGCCTGGCATGCTGCAGTCCACGGGGTCGCAAAGAGTCAGACACGACTGAGAGACTGAACTGAACTGACTGGATGAGAAGCAGGAAGAAAGAGAAGCTGCCAGTCATCTGACCATGTAGTCTTCTTGACATTGAACACCTGCATTTCTGGCTCACAGGGAGATTTTTTTTATATGTTTATCTAAGTGTTCTGTGTCATGCGGGCACATCCCAAAGCCCAAACCAACCAACCTAAAGACGTATGATGCTAGATGGTCATTTGTCATCTTCCATAAAAGCTGCAGTTTGCCACCAAGCATCTCTGTCGGCTGACCTGGGCATCGTGGGCCCTTCACATGGCATCTCTATGCACAGGGCACATTGTACCAGGTGACTGACTTTTTAGAGGAGATATTTTTCTGGAAAGAAGCACCTGGAGGAAGGTTGACGATCGAAAGAGTGGTACTAGCAAGTTGAACCTCCCCTTCACTCTCACCTGAAACAGCAGTCTCTTATTTGTCCCCTGAGGGGCCATCTCCCGGGAGTCCTTTTAGCCAAGTTTTGCGTGCTCTTAACGCCCTGATCTTTGAGAAGGGATTTGGAACTAAGCCCAGTCAATGTCAAGTCCTAAGTTATCTCACAGGTTCCAAGGCTCCTGCCTCTGGCCCCTGGCTTTGAACCTTGCCCCACCGTGTGCTTACCGGACAATCCCCGGCCAGTGACCCCCGCTCTCTGAGCCTCGGTTCCCACGTTTGTAAAGTCAGGATCATAAGAGCACTTGCCTCACAGGAGGCTCTAAGGTTTGAGTTTAGTATCTGTGAAGCACCTGGAATCAGGTCAACCCAGAGAAGGCTCAGATCGGCCATAGTTGCTCTTAGAGGCGCCTTCTTGCACCCCCTCGCTCAGCACTCCCCAGGCCAGGCCACTGCCCTTCAGACTGACATCACTGTGACAGGAAGGATGCAGGTCACTTCCTGCTGAAAAGCCAGTTGCCTCCACGATGGCCCTAAACCCTTGAGGTGCCACTGAAGGTTCCCCTCCGAGATCCCTCCCCGTGTCCACACGCTCAGTACTCAGGGCACACACCTGTCATCTCTGGCCCCTTCCACCCAGACTCCACACTGGAGTGGGATTCTCTCTCCCACTGGCTGGGAACCCCAAGGGGCAGCTGGGGGAGTCAACATAGGAGTGACTCTGGGTTGGCACATTGCAGATTGTATCTCATTGATTCTCTGTGAAGCAGTTTCTCTTTCCCCGTCGTGTTACGGGTAGGAAAATGAAGGTGAGTGAGTCTCAAGATCAAACCCTTGTCGTGCCACTGGGATGAAGTCCAGGTATGGTTGTCCCCACTGCCTATGTAGTTCCATCAACTCCACACAACCCTTTTGTGCTGTTTAAGAGGGAAAACCAGCCAGAGGTCTTCAAGGGGGTAAGATGCTAAGAGGATGTGAGAACACAGCCCCCGATACAGCACCTACACGGTGAGTTTGGAACATGTCCATTTAGCTGAGCTGCGGCAGGCTTCCAGGGTCTCCTCTCCTGCCTAGATGGGCTCAAAAGAACGTTGGCAGCGTTACAAATGGAAGCGAGGCGGCAGTCACACTTTCACTGGGCAGGTGGAGCCATGACAGCTCAGGCCTCCTGGCTGGGCCTGTCGTTGGGGCCCAGCCCCCCTGCACCCTCTCCTTCAGCTGCTCCAAATCTGGGCTCAGCCCGGGGAGCTCTACAGTCAATTGTGCCATCCTGCAGTCAACCACAGGCTTCCCAGGTGGCGCTAGTGGTAAAGAACCCACCTCCCAATGCAGGAGACCCAGGAGAAACGGGTTTGATCCCTGAGTCAGAAGATCCCCTGGAGGAGGGCAGGGCAACCCACTCCAGTATTCTTGCCTGGAGAATCCCATGGACAGAGGAGCCTGGCGGGCTACAGTCCATGGGGTCGCAAAGAGTTGGACACAACTGAGCAACTGACACTTTCACTTTCTTTTTTCAGAGTAAAGAGATTGTTCAAAAGGATCCAGAAATTCAAGATGGAATCTCTTGTCCCATACATAGGTCTAAATAGGTCTAATGTCTTCTTCCAACATCAGACAGCCGCTTGGAGCAAAGCTATTTCTGAAGTGAAGTTAGCTTTTGAAATCTTCCTGCGGAGTTCTCCTTCGGCAGGATTTCTTCTTTAACTTGGGGGCCATGATGAAGGATGTGTCTGTCCTCAGGGGCTGGAGCTGAAGAGCCGGCTTGTAGGGAGGCGGCCCAGGCGTGCAGCCTGGACTCTGGGGTCAGCCCTGGCCTCGGTCCTGGCTCTGCTGCCAGCTGTTTGATCGGGTGAAGTTACTCACCCTTTCTGTGAGTCAGTGCTTTCCTCCGTCAGCTCAGGGACTGATACAAAGGGGTGTCTGAAGAGGCTCAGCGCCGGCTAGGCTGCTCATTTTGCTGTACTTTGCTTTCATTAGGTAGTCGTATAACAGCACTTTCTTTTTAAAATCTTTTTTTTTTGTATTTTCATTTTTTAATTTTTTGGCCACCCCAAATGGCATATGGGATCTTAGTTCCAAAACCAGGGGTCAAACCCACGCCCCCTGCACTGGAAGCACAGTCTTAACCACAACAGCACTTTCTGTACGTCAAAAATAAAATCACGAGCTTCCCTGGTGGCTCAGGGTGGTACAGAATCAGCCTGCCAATGCAGTTGATCCCTGGTCTGGGAAGATCCTACATGCCACGGGCAATTAAGCCCGAGCACCCCAACTATTGAGCCTGTGGTTCACAAGAGAAACCACCGCAGTGAGAAGCCCATTCACTGCAGCTAGAGTAGCCCCCACTTGCTGCAACTAGAGAAAGCCTGCTTGCAGCGATGAAGACCCAGCACAGCCAAAAATAAATAAATAAAATTATGTTAAAAAAAAAAAAAACAACACCCAAAATACAAAATCACATCCATGTTCACAGCCATCATCTTTTCAATCTTCTTAGGAAGATGAAGTCTAACTTTTCCAAGTCTCTTTTTGTTTCAGGCTTTATCTAACTATGGGCCCTCATGAAAATATCCAAAACCTTCCTGAAAGAACAGGCAGGGAAAGATGGTGGGGATTCATCCATCCGCACAATATTCTTTTGGATAACACAGAAAAAAAAAACAAGTAGAAGATGTAAATCTTAAGTGCCTCTTAAGACTAGAAAGACCCGTCAAGTTATTTTAAAACAACTATCATTTCATATTTGAAAAATCCTCGTGAGTTTTGAATTTCATTTTCCTTCACGTGATTCCAGTCGCTTTCAGGTGGTATGTCGTTTCCAGATCGCGCCGTGGCTCAGAGCAGCTGCGTGTCACGCGGACCAGCAAGCGCGGCTGCTGACAGAGGCCCTGGGAAGCTCGAGGCCCACCCCCCTCCAGTGGGCACTGCTCCCCAGAGCCCTCCAAAGACCGGCAGTCAGACGGTTGCTCAAGGACCGCGTGCCTCGTGGCCCTTCCTCCCACGATAATAATCCTAACATTTGAGCAAACGCCTGGCTTGAGCCAGAGCCCCGTCCAAAAACAATATGATTCAATCCATCCTGGCTTCCTTCTAGAACCTTCACCCCTGGGAGCCTGCCAGGCAGCAGTGGGGAGGACACAGCATGAGTCCAGACCCCCGGGACCGCCCCCTCGTTCATAGCCCTGGGGATGAACAGAAGAGTAAGGGCAGGAGTTAGGCCTCTGGCCACCGTGGCTTTGTTCCCCAGCTCTGGTCCACGCTGTCTGGGATAAACTCCTGAGCGCCCTGGTTTCCTCAAATATAAAAGCGGAATGACGCTGGCTGTAGGGAAGCACCCGTGAAATGTCTACTGTCTGACAGGCAGCCTTTGGTCGAGGGCAGTGAGCCTCACGGGGTGGGGGAGCCGGGAGCGGACAGCTGGGGACGTGGGGCCTCCGGGCAGCCGGGGCTTCCCCTGTTTGGAGCGGTGACGAGAACAGAGGGGCGGGACACGCGAAGAGAAATGAAAACGACCAGGGAGTGTGTGGCACCTTTTCATTTAGTCAGTCTTTATTTAAACGTGTGCTTTTGAAATGGCTTATTAAATATGACCTTTTCGAAACTCAAATCTCACAATATTTACAGTGACTTTTATGCAAACTGTGAGCTTTCGGCTCCCTCTTTCTCACACTAATAATTTACAAATTTGTATCACAGCAAAACCCCAGCTACTTCATTTATTACGGGGGTTTGCTAGGAAAGAGCTAATTCAAGCTCAGAGGAAATAAAATATGTTTTACTTATCAAAAAAAGAATTCTAACAAGGTTTTGCTTTCCACTTGAAAGCACGTGTCCCATGATGTGTGGGACAGTATTTAAGCAAAGAAATAAATTTCCAATAGTCATTGCTGCGCCTTCTTTCTTTCTTTAAAGTATTTACACTCATCTCTTTTAAACAAACAAAACCAGAAAAGTCAGATTCGAAGAGACTCTGGACTGTCAGGGAATGTTATAAAAATAATCTGACCTCAGTGATGCAAGACTGAAGGCCATCAGACGGCCCAGCGCTGGTCAGTGCTGCTACAAGAAGCTCCCGCATCTGCCTCAGAATTCAACCCTGGGGCTGGGGGCAGGAGTAAACGTAGCCGAGAAGGATGAAGCCATGCCAGGTGATGCTTCACATGCTAAATCTACAAGAGCGTGGATCCTTGAGAGGGATCTTCCCCTCTCCAGTTGGAGAAATATCTGGTTCAAAAACACAGTACCCTACATTATAAAAAGTGAAGATTCCTCTGGAAGGTACCAATTCATGATCTGGAAACAGAATCATTAAAAAAAATACAGAACTAACAATTGTACCTTTAATGTCTTGTAAATATAGCTTTAAAATTCCATTTTGTACACTTGATGTCTGAAAACAAACCGTGACCTTTATTTTTATAAAAAAAAACACAAATTAATTCCTAAATCATCTTAGTATGCAAGAGAATATTTGAGACCAACATTTTTACAGAAACCTTTTCAGTGAAGAATCTGATGTGAAATTACAATGACAGATTAGAAATTAGAGTGAAAATTTTTTCAGTCCTTTGAGGATGTTTCATGCATGTAATCATTTGTCCTTCCAAATGCAGTGTTCCCTTATGTATAAGTGTGACCCTCTGGACCTGTGGTTTTGCACACACTAGGCATCTCGATGCAATGATTCTTACTCTGAAAAACACTTTCTCCACAAAACTTCTTTCCCAAATTAAGAAGTATGAATGAAATATTCCAAATATTCACTAACCCTATAGAACTCTGTGAAACAGCAATTATTTCTGCTAGAGCTGTGGTTCTAAACCGTCTGGTACAAGTTTTCAAGTGAGCTGGTCCTACCCCGGTGGGGCCTTCATGCCTGTGATCCTTGTTAGACCATCCTGTTTATACCTAGTTGGTTCTATGCTAACCTGGTCAGAGTAGGGGGTGTGTGTGTGTATGTGTGTGTGTGTGTGTGTGTGTGTGCGTTTGTACCATGAGTCAGGTGTACAGAGGAGATTCATCGAGATAGAATGTGGGGTCATAAGCAGAAAGGAGGGTATCGGTTTCCTAGGAAGTTAAGAATGAATGATTACGGTTAAAAGATGTGGGCAGGGAATAGAATATGTAATGGCTGAAAATATGGATCTTATTTTCTTAGTGCCTTAAGAAATTTGTGGGTCCAACTGCAGATGGGAAAAACAGTTTTGTGCATCTTGCCCCAACTCCCAGTTCTCCTCTGAGAATTTAACCCTCTTTGAGGACTGGGTGACATCCATCCTTTGAGTTCCCACTACTTGGTGGCTCGTGGTGACTGAGGGCTCATCTGTAAGCCCACAGCCTTGCTGCCTTTCATTAAGAAAGGGTTAAAGTTGCTTTTATCAATTTTCCAATACAATGGCTCTGATTTCATATAAATAATCACAGGTTAAAATGAATATATTATTCTAAATTAATTTTTTTTCATTCAAAAGATTATATTCCATCTACCCTGAATGACAGATTGAGGAAAAAAAGGCACATCCACAGCCTTCCCAGGAATGGCTACTTTTTGAAATGACACTTCTCGTACGAACTGAATAAATGAGGTCGTGATGGTGGCAGGAAACTCAGTGGGACTTCAAGGGGCCACTTTCTTCAAGTCACGAATCTGTTTAATCAGGTAGTTCTTCTCATCGGTGAACTGCTCATCGTCGGTCCTTTCTTTTTGGAAGTTGCTCAGAAACTCGATGAGTTTGGGTTGGTTTTTCAGAAGAATCTCCACAATAGGCTGTGTTTTGTGAGGACTGGCCACAAACACCTGAAACACGAAAAACAAATACCTAGGACAAGGAATGCACAGCTGGAAAACATGGGTCCCGCCTGTGTCTCATCAGTTACTTGAGTTATTAAACACAGAAAGCCCGAGATTTTACTCCCTTTTGGAAGAAAATCACGGTGTGGGTGACATGAGAGTCCACGAATCAGATTTTCTCTTTCTTCTTTGGTGGATTGTATGTTCCTTGGAATTTGTCCATTTCATCTGGGTTACCTAATTTATTGATGTACAATTATTTGTAGTATTTTCTTATGATCTTTTATTTCTATAAGGAGATTGAATCAGGAACCAAAAACCTCTCAACAAAAGTCCAGACAGAACCAGATGATTTCACAGTAAATTCTACACATTTTGAAAGAAAAATCGACACCAATCTACTTCAAATTCTTCCAGAAAATAAAAGAAAAGGGAATAATTCCTAACTCATTATGTGAGGTTAGCATTACCCTGTTACCAAAGCCAGACAAGACTATCACAAGAAAACTACAGACCAATATCCTTTATGAATGAAGATACAAAAATCCTCAACAAAAGACAAGCAAATGAAGTCCAGAATAATATTAAAAGGATTACACACTATGATCAAGTGGGATTTATCCCAGAAATACAAGCATGGCTCAACATAATGAAATCAATCAATGTAGTACACCACATGTACTGGACTGAACTGCATCCTCTTAAAAGATGAATGTTCAAGCCCTAACCCTCGGTACCTGTGAATATGCTTATTTGGAAGCAGAGATGTAATCAAATTAAGAGAGTTCATACTGGGCTAGGTTGGGCCTGAATCCCACTATTAATACCAGTATCCTTAGAGGAAGAGGAAATTTTGGACACAGAAACACACAGACATATGCAGAGGAAAATGCCATGTGAAGTTGGAGACAGACAGGAATGCTGCAAAATCAGTTTTACTTCAGACACAATGAATAAACTTGAATTAAAAAGAAAAGCAAAAAAGACAGAGACAGAGACTGAGGTTATACATCTAAAAGGCAAGAAGTGCCAAGGACTGTTGGCAACCACCCGAAGGTAGGAGAGAGGCATAGATTTTCCCTGAAAGCTCCAAAAGGAAACAAGCTTGCTGACACCTTGATTTTGGACTTTTAGTTGACAGAATGCAGAGACAACTACTTTCTGTTCTTTCAGGACACTTAGCCTATGGTACTTCGTTAAAGCAGCTCTAGGAAGTCAATATGACACATGAGTACATTGAAAGAAAACCATAAGATCATTTTAACTCATGCAGAAAAAGTATTTGGCAAACTCCAATACCTTTTCATAATAATTTTAAAAAAGCAAACACTCAACAGCTGAAAATCCACATGCAAAAAAAAAAAAATAAAAAATTGAACCAAAAAAAAAATTAAGTTGGACCCTTATTTCACACCATAAACAGAAATTAACTCAAAATTGATCAAAGACCTAAATATAAGAGCTAATAAAACTTTTAGAGGATAACATATGGGTACATCTTCATGACCTTGGATTTAACAGTGGTTTCATAGCTACATCAAAAGCATGAGCAAGAAAAGAAAAAAATGGGTAAATCGAACTTCATCAAAATTTAAAACATTTGTGCATCAAAGGATACTATCAAGAGAGTGAAAAGACAGCACAAAGAATGTTAGAAAATATTTACAAATCGTATATATGACAAGTGTCTATTATCCAGACTATATAAAGAATTCTTCCAATGCAACAACAAAAATACACACAACACTTTTTAAAAAGGGGCAAAGGACTTGAGTGGACATTTCCCCAAAGAAAATATATAAATTATCAATATGTATGTGAAAAAAAAGTTCGACATCATTAGGTCACTAGGAAACACAAATGAAGACCACAACCAGACTAGTGCTTGCTTCGTGCTCAGTTGCTCAGTCATGTCCAACTCTGCGACCCCATGGACTGCAGCCCACCAGGCTCTTCTGTCCATGGGATTCTCCAAGCAAGAATACTGGAGTGGGTTGCCACTTATTCCTCCAGAGTATGTCCCCAACCCAGGGATTTAACCCATGTCCCTTGTACTGACAGGCAGATTCTCTACTGCGAAGCCACCCAGGAAGCCCTTTTTTTCTGTGCATATGGCTACATGTAATAATTGAGACAAAACTGGGCTTCCCGGGTGGTGCTAGTGGTAAGGAACCCATCTGCCAAGGCAAGAAAGCAGGAGACAGGGGTTCAATCCCTGGGTCCACAAGATCCCCTGGAGGAGGGCATAGCAACTCACACCTGTTTTCTTGCCTGGAGAATCCCATGGACAGAGGAGCCTGGGACTACAGTCCATAGCGTTGCAAAGAGTCGGACACGACTGAGACGACTTCTCACTCACACACCACATATGCTCAAGTTCCAGCAGCTCTGAGTGGTGAGCTGAAAGGTACCGACCACCCCCATCCTCTACATGGCTTAGTAGAAAGTGGCAGTATGGTCCTTTGCCATCAAGGAGGCTAACAGGGAAAGGAAAGAGATACCAGCTCATAGTGGATTCCTAAATTCACATTGGGCGCATCTCTGGAAGAGGGAGGATCATAGAGACAAAGGTCTCCTGAACCTAGTATCCTGGAATTACACTTAAAAAAAAATATTGCATGTTTATTTATTTATTTTTTCTTGGAGTATAATTGCTTTACAATGTTTTGTTATTTCTACTGTACAGTATGATGAATCAGCTCTGTGTATAAATACACCCATCCATCCACACCCTCTTGAGCCTCCCTTCTACCTTGTCCAGATTTTTTTCATTTTAATCTAACTGTAACTTTTAAACATAATTTTTTTTTATTTATTTGGCTGTGCTGGGTCTTTGTGGTATCTTTGATTTTTGCTGTGGCATGCAGGACCTTTAGTTCTTTAGTTGTGGCATGTGAACTCTTAGTTGCAGCATATGGGATCTGGTTCCCCGACCAGGGATCGAACCCGGGCCCAGGGCACTGGGAGCATGCAGTCTCAGCCACTGGATCACCAGGCAAGTCCCTAACTTTAACTTTTTTAATTTAAAATTTTGCAAGTGAAGAAACAGATCCGAATGTATTTGCCCAAAGTCACTGATGGCAACTGAGCCACAACAAACACCCAGGTCTCCTGAGTTCCGACCAGTCCTTTCCCATCACACAATCTTGTTTGTCAATAGCAGAGAAAACATGAAACGGCAGCTCATTCAAGTCCTTGAATGATTCAAGCAAGCTAATGAAAACTGGCCATTAATAATCTGGTGAAGACATTTTTAGACCACATTTGCTGTATCTTATGGAAGGTATTTGGGGAACAAGACTATTAATAAAGAACTGTGAAAAAACTGAAAAAAAAAACTGTGAAAAATAACTTTATTTTTCTAAATAACAAAATATTATTTTTGGCAAGTAAACAATTCAGTGTGCACTTCAGTGGAAGGAACAAAGTCAGGGCCCAGGGTACATCCAGTTTATAAACATGCAAGTAAACAAGTGGCCAGCTATTTTGAAATGGACCTACTCTGTCCAATACTGAGACAATCCAAATTCTGATCTCAGAGGATGGAAGAAGGTTATTTCTATTTTGCCACCCACTGAATACTTCTATAATACTACATTTTGGAACAAAATTATATGAAGCATGTTTTCATCTAGGATGGCATAGTAAAACTCTGTGGGAGCTGGAATGACAAAACAATGGCAAGCCTTCTATAATTTCCTCAGTCAAAAAGGAAGGATCTTAAGAGGGTCTATCATTTTATACTGTGCAGGCACTTTTCTGTCCTACAAGAGCCTATTTTTATTCCATCCACTTTGTGCTTATTCCTTATGAAATAATATAAACAGAGAAGAGCACAGCAGTAACACTGCAGATTTCAAGCTCCCACCATCAGTTCTATCATTTTTGCCATATGTGCCTTCAGAATCTGAATAAAATAAAACATTATGGATAAAATTAAAGACCATTAGACAGTTGTTGATGTCATTCTCTTTCCTGATGTCCTTCTTCCTCCTGTGAGGTGACTGCTATCCTAAATTTGGTATTTATCATTTCCATGCAGGTTTTTAGACCCCAACTACATACAAATGAATCTATACATAGTATAGTTTTTCATGTTTTTAAACTTTAAATAAGGAAAATCCTTTTAATATTTGCTTAATCCCACTCAATGTTTCTGAGATTTGCCTACATTGATCCCATATAACTATTAATTTTAACCCATTACTATATGCTATTCTATGAATATATCATAATTTATTGTCCTAGATTTCTGCAGATACCTTTTTATTTTTTCATTTTGCAATATGCTAAACAATGTGCAATAAACATTTTGGTACATAATTCCTTATGCCTGTGAGCAAGATGTCCCAGGAAATGAGATTTAGGAATGAAGAGTACAGACACTTTCAGTACTTTATTTTGCTAAACTGCTCTCCCAAGTGCTTGTATTAGTACTAATTTACAGTGTAAAAACCAACTGCCCCCTAACCTTACCACAATTTAATATTGTCAGACCTAAACATTTTTGGCAATATGAAAAATGTTATGTGACATCTCATTGATATTTTAATGGCCATTTCCATGATTGTCACTGTGATGAGCATCTTTACTTATTTGTTGGCCAATCAGATTTCCCCTGGAAAACGAAAGGGCAACCAACTCCAGTATTCTTGCCTGGGAAATCCCATGAACACAGGAGCCTGGGGGGCTGCAGCCCGTGGGGTCACAGTGTCGAACACAACTGAGTGACTAAACAACAAACAACAACAAAAACAGGTTTCCTCATTTGTAAGTCACCAACTTGCATCCTTTGCCCATTTTTCTATTTAATTGTTTGCCTTTTTCTAAACGATTTGTCAACTCTATGTGTCACATTCTGTCCTGTTCTCTCACTTTGTTTATGATGTCTTTTCAAACAGGTGTCAAATTTACATGTCAAACATTATTTCCTTTTATGCTTTGTGATATCAAACTTTTTAAAAATTCTTCCTTCCCCAGCATCATAAAAAGTTTATTTTCTCTTTTAAAAGTTAAAAGATGTTATGCTTTTCAAGTGTAGATCTCTACTGGTAATTTATTTCTGAAAATAGTGGATGGGAGTTTTCTATATTAATAATCCCTTATCCTAAAACCACACACAGAAGAACTACACAAAAAAGATCTTCATGATCCAGATAACCACAATAGTGTGATCAGTTGCCTAGAGCCAGACATTCTGGAATGTGAAGCCAAGTGGGCCTTAGGAAGCATCACTACGAACAAAGCTAGTGGACGTGATGGAATTCCAGTTGAGCTGTTTCAAATCCTAAAAGATGATGCTGTTAAAGTGCTGCACTCAATATGCCAGCAAATTTGGAAAACTCAGCAGTGGCCACAGGACTGGAAAAAGTCAGTTTTCATTCTAATTCCAAAGAAAGGCAATGCCAAAGAATGCTCAAACTATAGCACAGTTGTACTCATCTCACACGCTAGTAAAGTAATGCTCAATTCTCCAAGCCAGGCTTCAACAGTATATGAACCATGAACTTCCAGATGTTCAAGTCAGATTTAGAAAAGGCAGAGGAACCAGAGATCAAATTTCCAACATCTGTTGGATCATCAAAAAAGCAAGAGAATTCCAGAAAAACATCTACTTCTGCTTTATTGACTACACCAAAGACTTTGACTGTGTGGATCACAACAAACTGTGGAAGATTCTGAAAGAGATGGGAATACCAGACCACCTGACCTGCCTCCTAAGAAATCTGTATGCAGGTCAGGAAGCAACAGTTAGAACTGGACATGGAACAACAGACTGGTTCCAAATAGGGAAAGGAGTATGTCAAGGCTGTATATTGTCACCCTGCTTACTTAACTTATATGCAGAGTACATCATGAGAAACGCTGGGCTGGGGGAAGCACAAGTTGCAGATGACACCACCCTTATGGCATAAAGCAAAGAAGAACTAAAGAGTCTCTCGATGAAAGTGAAAGAGGAGAGTGAAAAAGTTGGCTTAAAACTCAACATTCAGAAAACTAAGACTGTGGCATCTGGTCCCATCACTTCATGGCAAATAGATGGGGAAACAATGGAAACAGTGACAGACTTTATTTTGGGGGGCTTCAAAATCACTGCAGATGGCAGCTGCAGCCATGAAATTAAAAGACACTTTTTCCTTGGAAGAAAAGCTATGACCAACCTAGACAGCATACTAAAAAGCAGAGACATTACTTTGTCAACAAAGGTCCATCTAGTCAAAGCTATGGCTTTTCCAGTAGTCATGTATGGATGTGCGAGTTGGACCATAAAGAAAGCTGAGCACAGAAGAACTGATGCTTTTGAACTTGGTGTTGGAGAAAACTCTTGAGAGTCCCTTGGACTGAAAAAAGATCAACCCAGTCAATCATAAAGGAAATCAGTCCTGAATATTCATTGGAAGGACTGATGCTGAAGCTGAAACTCCAATACTTTGGCCACCTGATGCGAAGAACTGATTCGTTTGAAAAAACCCTGATGCTGGGAAAGATTGAAGGCTGGAAAAGGGGACGACAGAGGATAAGATGGTTGGATTGCATCACCAACTCAATGGACATGAATTTGAGTAAGTTCTAGGAGTTGGTGATGGACAGGGAAGTCTGGCGTGCTGCAGACCATGGGGTCGCAAGAATCAGACATGACTGAGGGACTGAACTGAACTGAGAAACATTTATTAACAGTAACCCTTTCTTTACTGATTTATAATTTCTCCACTACCAAACATCAAATTTTCACATTTGCACAGGCTCACTTCTGGGCCTTACTCTGTCTTGTTGCTCTCTTTATCTATCTCCATGCCAATACAGTATTTTCATTTATGATAAATCCAGAGGAAATCTTAATATATAGTAGGGTGGATTTCTCTACCTTGTTTTCTTTGAGAATTGTCACAGATAATCCCAGGCCATTGCTCTATCATACAAATTTTAGAATCAGCTAGTCAAGTTCCAGAAAAAGCACTGCTAGGATTCTGAATGCAATTAAGTAGAATTTATAAATTACTATGGGATTTGAATGGCTCTAGTGGTTTTTTGCACAACAAAGATCTGGTGGCCTGAAAGATGGACTAAATTTTTTTTTTACCTTTCAAAGCAATAATTACATACATTAAAAACTGCTGTGTCTCTGACTTATAAATTCAATCACAGAATATACCTTACAAAGATTAAAAACAAAAAGAGGTTGGAACTCTCTCAACCCTTAATTCTATTCTAGATACTGATCCTAAGAAAATAATCCTAAGAATGGAAACAAATTAGCTTGATACATAAAATGCTCATTGTAGCTACAAACTGAAAACAGCCTAACTATAAACAACATGGGGATATTTAAGTAAACTAGAGTAAATATACTCAGCGAAAAACTATGATACCAATAAAACTATTGACTCTTTTAAAAAGCTATATATAACAACAATGAATTAGTGTTCACATATGGTATAGCATTAAGTGATAAAATTAGTATCAATACTGTGTACAATGTGAATTCAGCTGCAGAAAAAAAGCTTTACACACGTGCACAGGAAAATAAAATTTACTAAAATCTTTACAAGAGTTAAGTCAGAGTTAGTGGATTATAGATTAGATGTCTCTCGCCTACCCTACTTTTTAAAAAAAAAAAAAAGATGTGACTTCCCAGGTGGCTCAGATGGTAAAGTGTCTGCCTACAATGCAGGAGAGCCAGGTTCGATCCCTGGGTTGGGAAGATCCTCTGGAGAAGGAAATGGCAACCCACTCCAGTACTCTCGCCTGGAAAATCCCATGGACAGAGGAGCTTGGCAGGCTACAGTCCATGAGGTCACAAAGAGTTGGACACGACCGAGGGACGTCACTTTCTTTTCACTCTTTTAAAAAGATTTATTTATTTATTTATTTTGGGGTGTGCTGTGTCTTCATTGTTGCACACAGGTTTTGCAAGTTGCAGCGAGCTGGGGCTGCTCTCTAGTTGCGGTACTCGGACTTCCCAAACTCATTGCAGTGGCTTCTCCTTCTGTGGAGCACGAGCTCTAGGGCGTCCTGGCTTTAGCAGTTCTGGCGCACAGGCTTAGCTGCTCCACGGCATGTGAGATCTTCCCGACCTGGGATCAAACCCATGTCCCCCGAATTGGCAGCTGGATTCTTAACCACTGGACCACCAGGGAAGCCCCTACTCTACTTTTAAACAAATCTACTGCTTAAAGTTTCTAGGAGATGATTTTATTACACTTACATCACAAAAAATATTTGAAAAAGCAGGTATTATATAGACTTTTTTTTTTTTTTAGTTTTCTTTTAAAATGCATTAAAATATTTCTAAGCAAGGAATAAGAGTTAGTACACTGTGTTTCTTTCAGTTTCATTTAAAGTTCAAAGGAACGTTTAAGGCAGAAGTGAAACTTTCAAATTCTGACACTCAGGGTTTGGGTTTTAGCTCAATCACTCATTATCTTAGTAACTTCTGGGAAACAGTATACACCTATTTTCTTACTGAAAAAGATGCAAATATTTTGAGATATAGGTTCATCAGCAAATCTTTTTGAAATAAATGGGCATCCATTCAAAGAAATTTAGAATTTCAACTAAGTCATGCAAAACCGAGAGACTGCCTAGTTCATGTTCTCTCGAGTCAAAAGGAAGGTCCAAAATAGGGATTTTTGCCATTTGAAACTGGAAAAGGAATGCCTACATTATTTCTGCAGGGTGCTGTTTACCTTAAAGACGTGAAAGGCTTCAAACTGGATGTTGGGGCTTTTATCCCGGAGGAGGTTCATTGTCAGTTTGAGGTTCTCTGGCTTGCTGATGTACTTGGTCATGATGGCAAAGTTGTGCCGGTCCAAGATCAGTTCACCTAGCAGCTACAGAAAAACACAAAAAATCAAAGTAGAATCTGAGAGTCCTCTTATTCAAAATATATCCCACTCCTTTCTCACAAGAAAAAATGTAAGTTACGAATGTTGACATGAAAAAACAACAATCAGAGTCCTTAAGTGCATCTTAAAGCACAGGCATGGAAGCTGTAGTTATCCTTGTTATTTTTAAACTTTTCATACAGTCTTGCTAAAGTCAGTGCTTAATGCATTTGAGTCTTTTGTTGTTTTTTTTTAATGCCAGTCATTGTTGCAGCTTTAAAAAAAGCTCTTTCAGGCTTCCCTGGAGGTCCAGTGGTTAAGGATCCACCTTGCAAAGCAGGGGACACGGGGTCCATCCTTGGTGCGGGAAGATCCCACGTGCGCAGGGCAACTACGTCCTCACACCTTAGAGCCTGTGCTCTGCAACGGGAAGCCACCGCATTGAGAAGGCCGCCTACCGCAGCTAGAGAGCAGCCCCCACTCACCACAACTAGAGAAAGCACACGCAGCAACAAAGACCCAGTGCAGACAAAACAAAGCTCTCTCTGCAGCTCTCATCGAGAGTTAACCAGAAATTAATTTATAATTTTTGTCCCTTGCTTTAATGTGATTCTCACTAATGTATTTATTGCTCCTTAGGCACTGAGATAGGATAAGAATAATAAAACTGACTCAACAATGATACCTCCCTTATCTGAATAGATACACTTTGATAGTTTACTGGAAAAACAGACTATATTAAGTGACTCTTACCTTCTCCCTAAATTTTATGACAAAACCTGATACAGAGCCAGAAAAAAAAAAAAATTCATTGACCCTGAGTCCATATGAATTTTAATACATACAGCAAGTTTTTATCAGAAAGTAAAACAGAACATTTTTGGGGGACAATAATTCCTAAAGTGCAGCATTGCTCCATGTTATGAACTGCAGGTTTTTGTCCCTGTAAATCTATATGTTGAAATCATAACCCCCAGTGCAGTGGTATTAGGAGGGGGGGCCTTTGGCAGGTCAACAGGACGTGAGGGTGGAGCCACCATGCATGGGTTTGGTGCTCCTACACGAGAGACCCCAGGGAGCTTTCTTGCTGCTGGCCCCTTGATCTCAGACTTCCTAGCATCCACACTGTGAGAAATAAATGTGTGTTCTTTAAGCCACCCACTCTATGGTATTTTTGTTACAGCAGCCCAAACAGACTAAGACATTTCAAAACAAAATAAAAATGCCAAAAGCGAGAATAGTTGAAGACCCTCTGGCAGGAAATAGCTGAACTTTTATTTTCACCATAGTGGCAGCAAAACCAAGACTCAGTGCAGCCAAATAAACAAATAAAAATATATTTTTTTAAACCCAAAACAAAACCCACTCTGACTGGACTCATTGCTACTCCATCCCTCCCTCCACTACCTCACTTATTTTTTCTTATTCTTCTGCTTCTGTGGCTTCACTCCCCTTGCTCCAATTTCCCCCCAACTTTAGAGAGGTGTAACTGACAAAACTGTATACATTTAAAGTGTACATCATGAAGATTTGATATGAGTACATACTATGAAATATTTACCACAATCAATTTAATTAACACATCTATCACTTCGAGTAGTTACCCTCTCCTCTTTTTGTGGTGAGACTAGTTAAGATCTACTCTCAGCAACTTTCAAGCATACACCACAATATTACTATGAATTTTTTTTTTTTTTTGGTTGCAGAGCGTAGCATGTGAGATCACAGTTCCTTGCCAGGGATGGAACCTGCACCCCTTGCATTGAAAACTTGGGGTCCTGACCACTGGACCATCAGGAAAGTCCTATAATACAGCATTAATAACTATAGCCATCATGCTGTACATTAGATCTTCAGAATTCATTCATCTGATAACCAGAAGCTGGTGCCCTCTGACCCACATCTCCCGTCCCCCTGCCCCTCACCCTATAACCAACATTCTACCTTCTGTTTCTACAGCTCAACCTCAACTTTTCTCCTCAGCTGAGTCTCCTCTCCTGCCTTTGGGCTCTTTCCTTTTTCCTAGTTGTACTTATTCTGCTTTGCAGAACAGAGTTGCTAGTAAACTTATTTAGAATACAAGCTTCACAAGGGCATGTGTCAAATCCTGCTCACGTCAGTAGCCTTGACAACCTGTGTGAGGTGTGTGGATACTGTGGGGGAAATGAAGTCCAAACAACATAGAATCCTCTCCACAAAGTGTAGAAAAGAGAGACAGCAGTTTTATTACTGAATACGTGTATCCAGAGCATGATGCTATAGGTACTCTGCACAGAAGATATTACAAAGACATACAATCCTGCCTCATTTATACAGGCAAACAGTTATAATCCAGCACATACTTACAGTCTCAAGATGAAAGATAACTGGTCACTCCCCTATAAGAGACCTCCCCTGGTGGCTCAGACAGTAAAGAGTCTGCCTGCAATTCAGGAGACCCGAGTTCAATTCCCGGGTCGGGAAGATTCCCCTGGAGAAGGACATAGCAACCCACTCCAGTATTCTTGCCTGGAAAAGCCCATGGACAGAGGAGCCTGGCAGGCTACATAGCGTCCATGGGGTCACAAAGAGTCAGACACAATCGAGTGACTTCACTTTCTTTTCTTTCCCCTATAAGAGGACTTGACAGCACACTTTCATAGCCCACTCTGAATTCACCCGGCCATGGAAGCAGCCATTTGTTTTACCTAGCTGCTTTTATCGAACTAATAAAGAGGATAATAAATCTTTTCTTATCGCTCTGACAAGCAAATGGTTACAGCTTGGAGAGCAGGCCCGAGGTTAAATTCTCCTGTGATGGAGAGGCAGGAGTGCTATCTTCCTAGATGTTCACATTCCAGGGGGACGGCTCCAAGACTCTCAAAAAATTATTCTAGGTTGTTAAACTGACAAGAAGCTTCTAAAGATATATATACAGATATACATACGTATATATTTATCTGCATATAAACCCACACATATGGGCTTCCCCAGTGTCTCAGTGGTGAAGAATCTGCCTGCAGTGCAGGAGATAGTTTCCATCCCTGGGTTGGGAAGATCCTCTGGAGAGGGAATGGCAACCCACTCTAGTACTCTTGCTGGAGAATTCCATGGACAGAGGAGCCTGGCGGGCCACAGTCTATGGGGTCACAAAGAGTCAGACACAACTGAAGCCATTGAGAACACACACACTCACACACATACACATACATGTATATATAGCTTCTGTGTAACTATAGATTCTATGTAGATACATATTTATTTAAATATAATATGTATAATATATACACATATATCATATACTCCTACACATATCAAAAGGTCTTTTGACCACAGAGAAATTTCATTTGAAAAATTTAAAATTTGTGCACACACACATTCAATAAATATTTATTGCAGTGACATTTATGAGTTAAGTTCAGATAAAATCACTTGAATTTTTAGTACATGGGGATGCCTACATATAAATTCTATCAATCTATCCTCCTTATATAATTTCACTACTTTTCAGAAGCAAGCAATTGTGTTAAACCACTTGGCCAAACACATTGAATCTTTCAGTCATTAGATATTAGTCTATTCATTTATACTGACAATAAAAAAGTGTTGCCTTTCATAATAATACAAAGCATTATAAAGAAATACTGTACTAAGTAAGTGACAAAAAATTCATATTTCTGCTTCTTTAAATTTCATGTTACAGGCTTAATAGCACACAGTGAAACCAAGTACCATATGCAGAACTAATGAGAGCTTTAAAAAAAAACTTTATATTTTAATGAAATTGACCAGAACCATCCCCAAATCCAAAATTCCACCAAGCTTCTTTTCAATTATAATCTTTCCTGCTAGTAATTAAATACCAGGCTTTTGAAGAAGAAATAAATTCCTAAGTTGTGTCACATGAGTGAAAGGAATTTCTCTGTTAATTACTTCTTATTGACACCAGGAATCTAAGCACTTCAAGATAGTTAAAAAAATTTAGAATATGATTAACAATAAGCAGCAGGTAGCAAATACTTTGGAATCAGAAAATAGCCTAGTTTTCAGTCTATTACTTACAGAGTACTGTGAATAAATACACTCTTACAATAATCTAACCTCTCTTGTTTTCTAAAATTATAAAACATCTATGTGCAAAATACTACAGAATCCAGAGATATAAACATTGTTACATCAAAACAGGACACCTGCTACCACAGATCTAATTTCCTAAAGGAAAACCCACCAGCACATGGGGGAATTCCCCAGAAACATGCTCTTTGGTTGAAGAAAAGAGCAAACAATCTTTAAGGAGCTCATTCTGTGAATGGAGTGATACAAGACCATCTAAGCAATACCTCTGCCTAGTATCTAGCATTCAAAAAGGACATCTTCAATAATGATTTGAACAATTTTTGCATTCTTGATATGCCTTATCTGCATTTTACTAGTGCTTTTTAATGTCTAACCAGTGCTCGGTTTTACCACGTTGTATGTCAAATATTTGTGAGAAAGTCAACTGTAAAGGACTTTAGGCAGGAATAGCGGCTCATGTAGTATGTGTGGGTAGACTAATAATGAACAAGAAAGAGGCCTTATGAGTGGGCCAGGGCATCTGTAAATAAGTAGGTAACAGTCAGTTTGAAAGGGAAGAGCTTTTTTTTTTTTAATGCATTTGTTTGTTGTGCCAGGTCTTTTCATGCAGCATGCAGGATATTTAGTTGCAGCATGTGGGAACTAGTTCTCTGACCCAGGGATCAAACCTGTACCACCTGCATTGCAAGGCAAAGTCTTAACCACTGGACAGCAAGGGAAGTCCCAAAAAGGGGAGAGTTTAAAGGAGACTTTCCATTCCAGACACTGTACAAAGTCAGATTCTCTTTGCCAGGGTCACTGGGAACAGTGCTACATCTCCAGCTGCAGAACCATGTAAAAAGAGGAAGAGAAGCTGGATGGTGGAGAGCTGGGTGGTGAGAAATGTGTCTTTCTCATCTTTGCTACCCACCAAATGTGTATTACGGGTTGTACTAATCATACATCTACTGGGTGAAGAGGCTTGGATTTTTAAATGCAATGCATCCTGGTAGGAAAAAGTCCAACTCATACACGCATGTGTGTATGATCAGTCACTCAGTCGTGTCCAGCTCTTTGCGGCCCCATGGAGTATAGCCCACCAGGCTCCTCTGTCCATGGGATTTCCCAGGCAAGAACACTGGAGTGGGTTGCCATTTCCTTCTCCAGGGGATCTTACTGACCCAGGGATCAAACCCAGTTCAGTTCAGTCACTCAGTCATGTCCAGCTCTGCATCCTCATGGACTGCTGTACACCAGGCCTCCTTGTCCCTCACCAACTCCCAAAGCTAGCTCAAACTTATGTCTGTTGAGTTGGTGACACTATCCAACCATCTCATCCTCCATCATCCCCTTCTCCTCCTGCCTTTAATCTTTTCCAGCATCAGGGTCTTTTCCAAGGAGTCAGTTCTTCGCATCAGGTGGCCAAAGTATGGGAGTTTCAGCTTCAGCATCAGTTCTTCCAGTGAATATTCAGGACTGATTTCCTTTAGGATTGACTGGTTTGATCTCCTTGCAGTCCAAAGGGCTCTCAAGAGTCTTCTTCAACACCACAGTTCAAAAGCATCAATTCTTTGACGCTCAGCTTTCTTTATAGTCCAAATCTCACATACATACACGACTACTGGAAAAACCATAGCTTTGACTCGATGGACCTTTGTTGGCAAAGTAATGTCTCTGCTTTTTAATATGTTGTCTAGGTTGGTCATAGCTTTTCTCCCAAGGAGTATGCTTCTTTCAATTTCATCTGCAATGATTTTGGAGCCCCTCCAAAAATAAAGTCTCTCACTGTTTCCATTGTCTCCCCATCTATTTGCCATGAAGTGATGGGACTGGATGCCATGATCTTAGTTTTCTGAATGCTGACTTTTAAGCCTACTTTTTCACTCTCCTCTTTCACTTTCATCAAGAGGCTCTTTAGTTCTTTGCTTTCTGCCATAAGAGTGGTGTCATCTGTACATCTGAGGTTATTGATATTTCTCCCGACAATCTTGATTCCAACTTGTGCTTCATCCAGCCTGGCATTTTGCATGATGTACTCTTCATAAGCAGGGTNATTTGAAAAGACCCTGATGCTGGGAAAGATTGAGGGCAGGAGGAGAAGGGGACGACAGAGGATGAGATGGTTGGATGGCATCACCGACTCAATGGACACGGGTTTGGGTGGGCTCCGGGAGTTGGTGATGGACAGGGAAGCCTGGGGTGCTGTGGTTCATGGGGTTGCAAAGAGTTGGACACGACTGAGCAACTAAACTGAGCTGAGTGCAGCACTTTCACAGCATCATTTTTTAGGAGTTTGAAACAGCTCAACTGAAATTCCACCACCTCCATTAGCTTTGTTCATGCATATCCTGCTGTGGCAGGCAGAGCCTTTACCACTGAGCCACCTGGGAAGCCCTCTAACTCAAACCCTAGTCCCAATTATTTATTTAGAATAGATCAGTGCCTTCCAGATACTGAACTCTGGGGACAGTGATGAAGAATATTTATTAATGAAATTTACTTCAATTTTCTTTAGCAAATATATCCAGTCCTTACCATGTGATGGGTTCTGCTCTAACCATTTTACAAATCTTAACAAGGGAACAGGACCGGGTGGGGTTGAAAACATCCTGAGAAGAGAATGAGGGCACATGCGTAGGACGGAATGACAAGACAATGGGAAAGAAAAGCAGGAAGAAGTCCAAGAAGGCAGATATCTGGGTAAAAAAATGTCAGCTTTGTAATTTTGCCTAAGACCCTAGAGACTGTCAATCTCAGAAAAATCTGCCGCAAGTTCTCATCACTGTGGGAAATGGTATGAGGATCAACTCCAAGCCCATGACCCCAGCTTTCTTGATCCAAATTTGTTCAATCATCTTAGTTCACATCAGCCTCTCTACTTTGGTCCAGTATCTGACAGATTCCTACTGAAAAGAGGAAGGACTTGGAAAATTCATGAGCGATTAGCTCTACGTTGGCCCTTTAGAGTGTTGTCACCTCTGTTTCCTGTTTTCCAAAGTCCTCTGCCTCTGTAACACAGAGTTTTCTTTGAGTAAACGGCTGTCCCAACAGGATGTACCTTCATCTTTGACTGCTTCTTTTTAAAAAATATTTTTAATTAATTAATGTATTTGCTGCATAGGGTCTTAGTTATGTCACGCAAGATCTTTCACTGTGGCACAGTGAGTCTAGGTATGGAGTGTGGGCCCCGCACTTGGGGTGTGTGGGCTCAGATGCTCCACGGCGTGTGGGATTATAGTTCCCTGACTAGGGATCGAACCCACGTCCCCTGAACTGCGAGCTGGATTCTTAACCACTGGACCTGCCAGGGAAGCCCCTTCAACTGCCTTTAACAAGCGTTCTGAACACGGGAGAACACAGCATAGATGACCTTTACCTGGAGTTTCGTCTCATTACTTCACCTCCAGGACAGAGAGCAGTGCACCCATGGTATTTTTTTTCAACGTGGATCACGTTGTATGGGTTTCTCCACAAGGAGAAACTGAATGACTGGCTGGAAATAGTCCACTGACCTCCCCCTCAATGGGCAAAGCTGGAGCAGCAAGGGTACAGGCACAGGGGAGCGCGGTCAAGGCCGACACAGTCACGGAGACAGCGAACTGACAAATATGTGCTACAAGACAGATTTAATTTATTGCTTTAGCTTAAAACTGCATCCTATATTTAGAAACAAGTGCACTATTCTATAATGTCACTATGTAAAAATAATATATTTTAGAAATAATACATAGACTATTAATATGTAATAATATATAGATTTATCTGTTGAGCTTAAAACTATATCCAACATTTAGAAACAAATGCACTGTTCTAGAATGTCAACAAGTAAAAATAATATATTTTAGAAATAATAAATAAAGTAATAATATATAATAACATAATATTTAGTAAGCTCAAGCATCATATAAATGGCTTGACAAAACACACCAAATTATTATCTGCCAAAACGTTCTTCTGAAGCTCTGAGTAGGATCTGAAGGGCAGAGATGCAGCTCAGCCAATGCCCACTCCCTCAGGAGCTGTCCCTCCTCATGCGGGCAGAATGTCTGCCTCCAGGCACCTCTTCACTGAGGAAGGGGTGGTCCCTCATGGATGGATGTGGCTCTACTCTGCCGGGTCCCTGTCTGATGAGGGACAGGCATTTCTACAGGCATTTCATCGGAGACAGAATCTCATATCACAAATGCTGTTTGGTCACACACAAACACAGACTCCTCATCCTGTGCTTACGCTGTACTTAATACTTTTACTGTTACTTCCAAAAAGTATTTGAAGCAGGACACTTAGCCTGTTTTGCTACAAAGTACTGTCATAACATGTGCTTCCCTGGTGGCTCAGAAGGTAAAGAATCCACCTGCAATACAGGAGACCCAGGTTCCATCTCTGAGTGAAGATCCCATGGAGAAAGAAATGGCAACCCACTCCAGTATTCTTGCTGGAGAATTCCATGGACAGAGGAGCCTGGCAGGCTACATGGGGTCACAAAGAGTCGGACATGACTGAGTGACTAACACACACGGTCATAACATAGAAAATGCTTCTCAAGTTACAAAAAAGGAGATAATTTTTCTGTATTTACTTGCCCACTACTTTTTGGTTTGTTTTTTGGTGGTGCTGAATGGCTTGAGGGATCTTAGTTCCCTGACCAGAGATCAAACACATGACTCCCGCAGTGGAAGCTCAGAGTCCTAACCACTGGACCACCAGAGAAGTTCCTACTTGTCCACTATTAAACCAGTCATTTACGAACAAGAATGTCAACTTCTGGAGACTCTAACTTAAAGAAATTTGACATTACCTTCAAAGATTGTCTCTTAGTCACATAATTCTCAGACTGAAGCAGTTTCTCATAGTCTTCAAAAATCTAATGAAAAGAAAAAAAAGAAATATTAAGAATGTAAACCCAGCAGTGATTTCTCTGTTAATTAAGTGATTAAGTCTGTTTGCTTCAGAAGTAAATCCCCAGTCCTTCAGCCCAGCCCAGAGGTTGTGCTGTGTATCTCTGGGTGGACTGCCTTTGTCCGTGGGGAGGCTTCCCCGCTTCTCCATCCTCACTTACTCACAGAGATAACTGGGGGATGAGGAGGGCGGTGATACCACAGGCATGCTTCCCTCTGTTTTATTTTAGTTCTCCAAATTGGAAATTGAGTAGAAAAATGGAGTAATTGAGTCCTCCCAATAAATCACTTTGACTAAAACACCTATTTCGTCTTATTTTGGCTGTGCTGGGTCTCTGTTGCTATGCATGGGCTCAGTAGTGTTGGCGCACGGGCTTGACTGCCCCTCAGCATGTGGGATCTTCCCGAACCAGGGATGGAACCCACATTGCTTGCATGGGCAGGTGGATTCTTAACTCTAGACCACCAGGCAAGTCCTGAAGAAAGCATCTATTAACTCATCTAATGAGCTGCAGGATAACTCATTTTATGCCATTTTAAAGAAATGTGCTTATGCAGGGTTGCTGGTAGCTATTAGTCTTTGGATAATTTGACAAAGTGAAGAAGAACTAAAGAGCCTCTTGATGAAAGTGAAAGAGGAGAGTGAAAAAGTTGACCTAAAGCTCAACACTCAGAAAACTAAGATCATGGCATCCGGTCTCATCAATTCCTGGCAAATAGATGGGCGAAAAGTGGAAACAGTGGCTAACTTTATTTTTGGGGGCTCCAAAATCACTGCAGATGGTGATTGCAGCCATGAAATTAAAAGATGCTTACTCCTTGGAAGGAGTGTTACAACCAACCTGGAGAGCATATTGAAAAGCAGAGACATTATTTTGTCAGCAAAGGTCCGTCTAGTCAAGGCTATGGTTTTTCCAGTAGTCATGTATGGATGTAAGAGTTGGACTATAAAGAAAGCTGAGCGCTGAAGAATTGATGCTTTTGAACTGTGGTGTTGGAGAAGACTCTTGAGAGTCCCTTGGATTGCAAGGAGATCCCACCAGTCCATCCTAAAGGAAATCAGTCCTGAATATTCATTGGAAGGACTGATGCTGAAGCTGAAACTCCAATACTTTGGCCACCTGATGCGAAGAGCTGACTCATTTGAAAAGACCCTGATGCTGGGAAAGATTGAGGGCAGGAGGAGAAGGGGACGACAGAGGTTGAGATGGTTGGATGGCATCACCAACTCAATGGACATGGGTTTGGGTGGACTCTGGGAGTTGGTGATGCACAATGAGGCCTGGCGTGCTGCGGTTCATGGGATTGCAAAGAGTTGGACATGACTGAGCGATTGAACTGAACTGAATTTGAGAAGAGATTGAAGATCCTTAGCAACTCATAAAGAATCACAGTGGCACCTCCACAGCATGAACAGCTAGAGGAATCGGGCCACGTCTGCCGCACGCTGGCCACGTGAACCCCAACTGTCCTCTCTGGCGCGCTTCCACGCCCCCCGGAAGCCGGGAGACGCTGGCGATGGGGGCCCGTTTCCCAGTGTGACTGGTCATCACACACAGTCTAGGCCCTTCAGTTGAAAGTTCAGTGTCAACCTCTGGTCACACACAGGCACACTCAGAGGCCACTTAGCTTGGGGGGGCAAGCCTGGCAGAGAACTGAAGGCAAGAGAGTTTAGGGGCTGGGGAGGGAAGCAAAGGGTCCTTGGAAGACCAAATGCCAGGTATGAGTGATGAGGACAAGCTGTGCTCACTGATGAGAATGCCCAAGAGAGAATTCAGAAACAGAAAACAAAATCATGGAGCTCATGTTAAAGTCACAGTGATTTTTTTTCTTTTACTTGAAGGACTTATTTATTTTGATTGTCATGGAACACAAGAAGGATTTTGTGGGTCACTAAATGTATCAGACAAACATCATGGTAAATTTTACTTGTAACCAAAAAATGTAAATACATGCATATAAGGTATTATTGACTCCCTAGGCTACCAGTTTCATTATTTTAGGTCATATATCATGTTCTCCAGCTTCAGGTTTACTACTAAAGAAATAAGAAACTCAACAAGTATGAAATGTTTAAGGAGCATGAGTTCTTAAAGCCAATGTTCAGGTCAGTGCAATAGGCTCAGTATCTGTAAGACTACTAAATTACACAAGATGTGACTATAAAGACAAATTTAGGTAAATAAGGGTCAAAGAGAATGAGCTTATGGTCTCTCAAATTGTTGCTTATTATCCTTGAGCGCAAATTGCACAATACATTATTTCACTCATTCTATAGAAAAGATGAGGAGTTGATACACAGGTTTTGTCATAAGCTATCTTTGTCTTCTTATTTTCATTTATTATAAATATTACATCTAATGAATTTGAGAAGACTATGCACTATCTCCATAGTGAAGGACAGGGAAGCCTGCTGTGCTGCAGTCTGCTGCTGCTGCCAAGTCGCATCAGTTGTGTCCGACTCTGTGACCCCATAGATGGCAGCCCACCAGGCTCCCCCATCCCTGGGATTCTCCAGGCAAGGACACTGGAGTGGGTTGCCATTTCCTTCTCCAGTTCATGAAAGTGAAAAGTGAAAGTGAAGTTGCTCAGTTGTGTTCGACTCCTCGAGACCCCACGGACTGTAGCCCACCAGACTCCTCCGTCCACGGGATTTCCCAGGCAAGAGTACTGGAGTGGGGTGCCATTGCCTTCTCCAGTGCTGCAGTCTATGAGGTCACAATGAGTTGGACATTACTTAGTGACTGAACAACAATGAGTCTTTAACATTCCATCCAGCATGTACAGTTACTGAACAAACTATAGTAACAGTCTGTTCCCTAAATTCAAACATATATGAGTCTCTTTTAGTCTTGAAGCTTTTGGATACATCTGACAGTAATCTTTTCCTCCCTTCATATTTCACACTTTGATCAAAGTTCTCCAATTGATTCCATGGATTTTCTCTTGATAATTTTAGGATATGAAAATCACTTTTGATTTCATGATTACATTGATAATTCTTAATCTCAAAGGAAAAGCAGCAAACAATTTATGAAGAAGAAAGCCATAGTTTAATTTCTATGATTTGGATGTATGAAAACACAGGATATGGGTAGGGTATTCCATAGCTTCGCAGAGTCATCTGTTTCCTTTTATCTTTTTGTGTGGCTAACTACAAAATTTTAAATTACACAGTGGCTTGCATTATATTTCATCTGGACAGTACTGGTCTAGAGTAGCTAAACACTGCAACAAACCATGTAAAGTTTTGTCTCTAAGGTTGTGCTATGTTTTACTTTAATTCATGGCAAATAGACAGGGAAACAGTGGAAACAGTAGCTGACTTTATTTTTTTGGACTCCAAAATCACAGCAGATGGTGATTGCAGCCATGAAATTAAAAGACACTTACTCCTTGGAAGGAAAGTTATGACCAACCCAGAGAGCATATTAAAAAGCAGAGACATTACTTTGTCAACAAAGGTCCATCTAGTCAAGGCTATGGTTTTTCCAGAAGTCATGTATGGATGTCAGAGTTGGACTACAAAGAAAGCTGAGTACTGAAGAATTGATGCTTTTGAACTGTGGTGTTGGAGAAGACTTTTGAGAGGCCCTTGAACTGCAAGGAGATCCAACCAGTCCATCCTAAAGGAGATCAGTCCTGGGTGTTCATTGGAAGGACTGATGTTGAAGCTGAAACTCCAATACTTTGGCCACCTGATGTGAAGAGATGACTCATTTGAAAAGACCCTGATGCTGAGAAAGATTGAGGGCAGGAGGAGAAGGGGACGACAGGGGATGAGATGGCTGGATGGTATCACCAACTCAGTGGACATGGGTTTGGGTGGACTCTGCCAGTTGGTGATGGACAGGGAGGCCTGGTGTACTGCGGTTCATGGGGTCGCAAAGAGCTGGACATGACTGAGCAACTGAACTGACCTGAACTGAACTGAATGCTGTTTCTATTGCTGATACACTTAGCAAAAGCATAGCAGCTCTTGGTTGGGTCTGTTTACTCGATCTTCATTTAACACCACCAAATATATGGTACTGAGTTAGGTATTAGGGATGCAAGTAATCATGATAAAAATTAATCCATGGTACTATCCCGAAAACCTTAAATCTTGTCAAATTCCTACAACAACCCTATGAAGTAGCTGTTATTAATATCCTCATTTTTTGGTAGGCACAGTAACTTGTTCAGAATCATATAATTAGTAAGAGATACAGCAGGATTCTAAAGCAAAGCAACTGGACATAAATCTGTACTGCATTCTGAACCCCTGTGTTTGACAGATAAGGTTCCTGCCTCCCGGGGAGCTTATGAACCAGACAGAAAGATATAAAGACACACCATAATAATATTATACAATGTGGAAAATGTGTGAGAAAGAAGGAGAATGGGAGAGGGAGAGAGAGAGAGAGTGTGTGTGTGTATGTGTGTGTTTGGGGGTGAGGGGGTTAGGGTATATGTTAGGAAAAGTTTCCTAGAAGAGTCACAGGATGGAACCAAGCAGGACCCTGAGGGCATTCCCAGGGATGTACCCTCCCAAGTCTCCCACTTCTTATTTCTAGAAAAGGTTTACCCTCCAAGGCCTGGGTACCAAAGAGCAAATTTAATCAGAGAAGTGAGAAAATGCAGAAACAAAGGACAACAGTCAAGCAAGACAAAACAGTAATAGTTTAGCCAAAAACAAAGTCAGGGATCTTTAGTTCCTCCATAAAGTCTATAGATAATATCCTGAGCCATATCCTTGAGTTGTTTAAGAGAGACTGAAATTCCCACCAGGTGGAAGAAGTTAACTGTATGCTACCACAAATACAGAGACCTCATACTGGTTGAAACGAAGGGGTTGATGATGTTAACCCCTGATATACCACCTTGTCACTTTACTATCAACCAGTCAGAAGACAGTCCACTCACAACCCTCACCCGTTCTTGGAAAACTACTCGGGATTTGAGTCTTTTGAGCATTAGATGCCCCACACTTCTTGGAGTGTGGGGCATTTATTGACTTGCAGTAAATGCTGGACTTTCTGTCACCACAACCCGGTGTCAGCAGACTGGCTTTGCTGCATGCCGGGTGAGTTTGGTTCAGTCACAATGATAGCTGATTATCAAAAGGATGAGATGAATTCACCCTTAGAGAAGGGAGCTGGAAGACAGATGTATATTTTGGTATTTCTACTAGTCAGTGAAACTAGTTATCAACCATGTAAAACGATTCATTTTATTAAGGGTGGGGTACCTTATATGGCTTTGATGGTAAAGTATCTGGTTCAATGCAGGAGACCTGGGTTCAATCCTTGGGTCAGGAAGATTCCTCTGGAGAAGTGAATGGCAACCCACTCCAGTATTCTGGGTTTTCCCAGGTGGCACAAGTGGTAAAGAACCCGCCTGACAATGCAGGAGACGTAAGAGACATGGGTTCGAGCCCTGGATGGGAAGATCCCCTGGAGAAGGAAATGACAACCCCCTCCAGTATTACTGCCTGGAGACTCCCATGGAGAGAGGAGCCTGGTGGTCTACAGCCCATGGGGTCGCACAGAGTCAGACACGACATACATATACACTGCCTCTTTAAGGGCGACACGGATGCTCTTAAGTCAAGGTCAAAGTGAGCTGGTGCTAGTTATTTCCTGGAGCTACAGAGCACAACAGGAAGAGAGAAGAAAAACAAGGACACCCTGATCTCCTGCTATCCTCTATTTTTCATAGTTCCTCAATGATCTGACTTCTGGGTGATAAACCAAGCAGGTGGATAGTTGGTTTCAACTTCTCTCATAAACAGTGCTAAGAGATCTAAGAAGGAGAGAGAGAGAGGAAGAATGAGATAAAGACTTAACAATGACCTCTACTTACAGTGTCATAATTTTGTTCTAAGAAGTCTGCTACCAACACTTTATGTCTGGTCAGTAAATCCTAGAAAAAGAACAGTCAATGAAACAAAATTATTATAGGTAATAAATTTTACAAATCTGTCCTTTTCTTCTAAGACTTTCTAAGTCAATTAATTTGAAGAATAACAATTTCAGAATATTTTCATTTACATTCCAGAATTATTTCCATTTCTTCATTTAAGATGTGAAATACAATTTGTTTCACACTAAAAACAACAAAGAGTGCTTTAAATGCGTGTCATTGTTAGATTATAGAAATAATTTAACTAGCGAAACAAATGTCACCAAAGAGACAAGCTTACATTATATTTCTTCAAGCCCATAACTCTACATTGTAAATATGATACAATAAATATTCAAATAAAGCTTATGATGATCTTTTAAAAATGTCATTAATAACTATTAAAAACAAAAAACTCTGAACGGACTAAAACCATATCTCACAAGGTAACAGATTTTCAATGACTGACCTTTAGTTTTCTGCTTAATCACTTTTGAAATGCAGGTGCCTAGGATTCTCGGAAGCACAAGAATGACATTTAAAAAACTATATTTATTTTACTTATTTATTTGGCTGCACTGGGTCTTAGTTGCGGCATGTGGGGTCTCTAGTTGCAGCATTCAAACTCTTAGTTATGGCATGTGGGATCTATTTCCCTGACCGGGGATGGAATCTGGGCCCTGCACTGGGAGCGTGGAGGCTCAGCCACTGGACCACCAGGGAAGTCCCACAAGAATGACATTTATCTCAGCATTGTACTGGCCCTGCCTTGGCTTAGTGGGCTGTGAAGTGTCGTGCAGTTACTAAGTAGCACAATGCACCCTTTCAAAGTTGAGGACAAGTAGCCTGATCTAATTATAGACATAACTCCCAGGAAACTGAACAAAAGCATAAAAGAACATTTGATTAAAAATTCACACCTAAATTATAACCTTAAGTCACCTTGATGTCAAAAGAAAACAAACCCCAGCTAATCCTCTTAATACGCTTAAAGGCTAAATGCCTTGCCTAGTACTATGCAGAATTTAATTAAAAACAACATGAATTTTCAAGTTTTCCAAAATAAATCCTTATGCTTTAATACATATTTAATTAAAACTTCTAATTTAATTAAAAGTATATACAAGATACACAACATAACCTCACAGAGAAAACGAAGGCAGCCGCAATGGTAAAACTCACTTTTTTTTAAAGAATTTTTTTCATTGGAGGATAATGGGTTTACAATATTGTGCTGGTTTCTGCCATATATCATTATGAATCAGTCACAGGTATACATATGTCCCCTCTCTCCTGTTTTCCCATCCCACCCCACCCCTCCAGGCTGCCACTGAGTTCTGGGTTGTAAAACTCACTTATTTTTATTTCAATAAAAGGTTAAATATTTAAAGTACTTTGCACTACCGTTTTCTGTTTTCTTTTTTAAAATTTTTATTGGCATATAATTGATTTACAATGTTGTGTTTCTGCTCTATAGCAAAGTGAATCAGTTACACATGTACGCATATATCCACTCTCTGATTCTTTTCCCACATAGGTCATTACCGAGTATTGAGTAGAGCTCCCTGTGATATACGGTAGGTCCTCATCAGTTTGCACTAAAATTTTCAAGCCCCCAAATAATGAAACTGGCTATTAACTTCATTTCCTATTACTTATCATCACAACCTGTTTGACCAATGGACCTATCAATGGAGACAGGTGCTTATTTCCCCAGGAGAACGTAACAGTACAGTTCTGGAACTGGAATTTTAAAATGGGAAAACCCTCTAAGGATTATTGATATCGGTATTTTAGTGAATTCTGCACAGCCTGGAAGAATTTGGGGTGAAATGACAGAGACACACATTCCATGGCAGGAACCCAAGACCACAGCAGCTAGCAGCAGCTGCACTGACAGAGGGTTTACCTAGTGCTGGAGAGTGTGCTTTCTAATCTGCACAACTCTGCAAAGATGGGGATTATGTTCCTCATCTCACAGATGAAGAAAATGAGGCCCAAGGGTTAGCTAACTTGCTCAAGGATGTACAGCAAATCAGGTGCAGACAGAGATGGAATTGAAACCACTTTTCAGCATGTCAGTTCTTAGGGGGGTGGGGCATGGAAGAGGCTGTGGTTGTAAGGAATCTTCTTGGGGAATGGGAAATTTGCAGACAATACCATGAAAAAATATAATCCAATAATGTTAAAACATCAATAATTAAACTGAACAACAGTCATCCTACAGGTCAAAAAAAAAAAAAGGCTAAGCCTAAGAAGTTAAAAACAAAAGCCCAAACCAGCCAACCAGTCAAGCAAACAAGTCCCTTTGAACGCAGTTACTTAAAAAAAAAAAAGTGGGACTTAGTGGCCTAGTGGATAAGAATCTGCCTGCCAATGCAGGGGACATGGGTTTGATCCCTGGTCTAGGAAGATCCCACATGCCTCGGAGTAACTAAGCCTGTGTGCCACAACTACTGAGCCTGTGCTCTAGAAACTGTGCTCCTCAACAAGAGAAGCCACTCCAGTGAGAAGCCCTCATACCACAAGGAAGAGTAGCCCCCACTAGCTGCAACTACAGAAAGCCTGCAGAAACAGCAATGAAGACACAGGAGTCAAAAATAAATAAATTGATTTTTAAAAAGCGACTTGCATTCATCACATTCTATTGACCACAGAATTTTGGTAAAATGTAGAAAATTGGCATTTTTAATATCAGTAGCATACTAGGAAAGTTTTTTTAAGGTTATTTAGATTCTCAGGGACTTAAGTTCAACAAAAAATATGCTCAAGTACAAACAGTCCTAATTTATCTTTGTGCTTCAATATTGTGTTGAAAATTAAATTGGGTTGATCACATGATGTCAAGACATTATTATCACATTTTTTTATTCTATTAAATGTTGAAAAATCTTTGGGGAAATTTTCAGAAATAAATGCTGAATTGAATTTGCTCTTTTCCCCTTCATTAAGCTGCTGTTTGTGAAGTCTTATCTATGGTTTTTCAAAAAAGGAACTAACTTGTTTCCATGATGGCAAAGGGTCATCAAATAGAAAAGGGGGGGAAAATGGCACTACAGTATTTACTAATAGAGAACACCTTCTTAATTGTTTCGGCACAGATATTTGCTAGAAAGAAATGGAATGGTCCTTTGTGTTAAATGTCCTTCATATTTGACGCACCAAGGCCCCTCCTATCATGTGTTCTAGGTTACACTCTTGGGGGCTTCACCTGTAGCCACTGTACAACTGTTGTTTGGCCAGGTGAGACTTTTTATGTGCCCAGCTGCCTCATGTCATGTGGGATCGTCCCAACCAGAGGTTGAACCAGAGTCGCCAGCACTGCAGGGTGGGTTGTTCATCACTAGCCCGCTGGGAAGCCCCATGACAAGCAGGCTGAGTTGCTCTTTCTACAATGTGACAGACGGGTCGAGTAGATTGTGTTCTGTTTACTGAACTCTCTTATGATCCACATCATACATGGTTGGCTATGCTCTGGTCTAAGAAATACAATTTTCTGCTTTGTAAAATCAAACTGCCTCTTAGAGCCAAGTGACTTAAGTACTGAAACTAAATAACCCTGCTGATTCTGGCTGGGGGTGGGGGGTGGGGGGCAGGGAATTACCTTAAAGGTAGCAAAGGCATCTGAAGCAATATCAAATGTTGACAGTTCGACATACTTAAAGAAATCTTGGAATTGATTAGAAAAGAGGATGATTTTGGCAAGTGGTTCATGTCGAATACATTCTCTCAGCATAATACCACAACGTAAGGCGATCTGTGGGACTTCATAGCTAAAGCACAAATAAGAGAGAAAGAGAGAACTATGTATCAAAAGAACCATTTCAATACTGCTGTTAATGGAAGCACAGGTAAGGTACCATTTGTCACAGTTCATTCAAACACCACTCACACTGAATACCCACTAAATACCTACAATGTGCCTGGCACTATTTCAGATGCCGCAGCTGCTGCTGCTAAGTCGCTTCAGTCGTGTCGGACTCTGTGACCCCATAGACGGCAGCCCACCAGGCTCCTCCGTCCCTGGGATTCTCCAGGCAAGAATACTGGAGTGGGTTGCCATTCCCTCCTCCAGTGCATGAAAGTGAAAAGTGAAAGTGAAGTCGCTCAGTCGTGTCCGACTCTTAGTGACCCCATGGGCCGCAGCCTACCAGGCTTCTCCATCCATGGAATTTTCCAGGCAAGAGTACTGGAGTGGGATTTCAGATGCTGGGGATACCTTAAAATAGCTGAGGATACCTTAAAAATACCAAAGGCATCTGAAGCGATATCAAATGTTGACAGTTCGACACACTTAAAGAAATCTTGGGGGAAAAAAAAAGAAATCTTGGAAAGGATTAGAAAAGATACAACAGTATCTTTTGTTGGGGATACAACAGTCAGCAGACAAGGTCACTGCTTCCTAGCATTCACAATTTAGTGAAAATGCGTCTGGTGGGAGAGGAAGAAGACTATAAACAATGACCAGATAATTTCATATACTTCAGGGCTATGAAACTGAAGAAAATAAAATAGGTACGCTAGAGGGTGTGACTCCTTAATTTGTTTTACTTTAGACTAAGTGGTCCTGGAAGGAGAAAAGCATTCCAGGAAAAGGAACTAAAAGTGCAAAGGGTCCAAGGAAAGAACCAGCAGCTCTGAAAGCCAAGGTAAGTGTGGTAGGAAGCCTTTGGAGAGTTTAATGTAAGCAATTAACACAGCTGATCAGAAACCTTAAAAATGATCACTCTGGCTCCCTGTGGAGGCTTCTGTAAAACAGGAAAGAATGGGCTGCTGAGCTAAAGGGCAATCAGGGAGGCTAGCTAGTGCGGAGGAAGAGCAGCCCCGCCAGAGACGACGGCGGCTTGGCTTGGGCGGTGCTAGTAGAACGGAGGACTGTGGGCAGGCCCTGGACGTTGTTCAAAGGAAGAGTCAGCAGAGCTTTAGAGGTTGGGGTAGGTTGAGGAATAAATTTGGGCTGAGGGGAATTGAGGATTCAAGAATAACAAAAGAATATTTACATGAACTTCAGATTCGAGAATAAAATCTCTTTCCCACAATTTAGGAAACAGGCTACTTGGCAACTTCACATTTATAATTATAGTACGGAAAACAGCAAAGAAAGGTATCTGAGAGAAGTCACTAAACCAGGGTGGTATTTTTCATTTTGTTCCATTTTTATATGGAATAATATTCACAAATATCATCTGAATAATCCCTGAAAAACTCATGTTAACATTAAATGCTAATATATTCAGATAGGTACAATTCTTTGTAGAATATTAAAAAATGCCAGTTTATAGTATTAGCAATTTCTCTTATCAGAAGAATTTGAAAATCAGCCTATTGGCATGCATGGAAGAGTTATAAGTTAGGTTTTATTAAAGATGTCATAAAGAGGGGTACATTTTCTGAAATGTGAAGGAGAAGAACAGTCATTTACTAATAGAGCACTGAAGAAATGATTAAAAAAAAAAGAAGACTGTTTTCTCTAAAAACAATAAGGGGCACACAATTAAAATCTAGACTTATTAGTAAGATATTTATGGACATTCATAATTTTGCTTTAAACTTAACCTTTTTTTTTTTAAACTTAACCTTTCAATTTCATCTCGCATCACCTTCTTTAATTCTTTGAGGTAAGGCCTTCTCTCAACCTAGAATGCCCTGCTCCATAAGTTTTCACCTCTAAGATTCTCTCTCATTTTTCAGAACTTAGTTCAAATGCCACCTCCTCCTTGAAGTGTTTCCAATCACCTACCATTCAGAGTCACCCTCCCCTCCTTCAGACTCCTCCAATAGCTTGTCTGTAATTCCACTTTAACACATTTCTCATTCTTCAGTATGGCCCATTGCAATAAATTGTTATTCATTTGTTTTCTTTACCTTCTCACAAACAGCTTAATTGCTCAGGATACACTTTACTCATCCTATTACTTTCTCTCCTCCTCTTTACGAATCTCCATGTGGTATCTGTGTCTTATTTACTGGTACCTGCCTCTATCCTTAGCCTAGTCTCCAAAGAGTGCTTAGTATAATGTCTTTCACAAAGGTGTATAAAGACTTTAGTAAACTTCAAACTATGATTAAACTTAATACTAGGGTTCTCTAATGAGACACAAACTTTGGCTTATAGAAAAAACTGTATGATCTCTAGCCATTCTCATTTCTTAATTCGTCAAACGGAAACTATTAAAAAAAAAGTTTCTACTCACAACTTTCGTGTATAGTTCCTTTTTTTTTGTTTCATTAGGTGAAGTTTATTGGAACCATCTGTGATGTACAGACTATTTATTCTTGAAAACCAAGAGAGTATTTTTAAAAATGCTACTCTGGGTCAGAACATTGGTCATTCCATTCTAGTAGTTTGTGCCCAAGAGTGGAACGGTCATTCCTCTGAACTGACAACTTCTTAAAGTTAGGAGTATATTGGGATATATAAAGAAATTCCTAATTTTCCTCAGTACCCTTTAAGGAACTTGTAATTCACATGTTTCAACCTAACTATCCTCCAGGATACTGACTTTTGATAGTTTATTGCTTGCTATATAAAGAAGTGCTCCATGAGTTAAGCACCTTAAGTTTCAAATCCCAAGAACATTAATATCCTTAGGTTTGGTAAAGAATCAATATTTACCTCATCTATTTTATTCTACTTGTGGATAAGGGTCTCAAGGACACGGACCATGACAAACCACTATGTTCTCCACAACAACTAACTTAGTGGCAAGTTGCTGATAAAAGTTATTCCAATGAATGTAAATCATTATTTTATAGAACTGAACCATATTTTCCTTCTGATTTGCTGTTTAGATCAAATGCACACATGCACGCTCAGTCACTCAGACATATCCAATTCTTTGCAACCCCATGGATGGTAGCCCACGAGGCTCCTCTCTCCATGGAATTTTCCAGGTAAGAATACTGGAATCGGGTGCCATTTCCTACCCCAGGGGATCTTCCTGACCCCAGGGATTGAACTCGAGTCTCCTGCATCTCCTGCATTGGCAGGCAGGTTCTTTACCACTGAGCTATCTGGGAAACCACATGGGAAGTCTGGACTGTATAGTTAACTGTGTGAGTGTGGAGAAGGCACACTATTTTATATGCATGTTTACTCAAATAATAGCACAGAAGATCTGTTTAAAATTTAATAAAAGCCAAAGTAGAAGAGCACTTATCTCATCTGGTGGTGAGCTACAATAAATATTACACATAAAATGATTTGAAGAAAGATCCTGTGCAAGAATATCTCAGTTTAAGAATGCAGATTATATTATGTAAGGAGAAAAATGACTTTTGTCGCTCTTGATAGAAGAAACAAGGGCAGAGAGCACTAGGAAAAGCATCAAAACAAAAGTAGCCTTTTCAAGATGACCCATGTCCTTTTGATATCACTCCCATTAGTTTGTGAACATTTCCTTGCTTTCTGGCCATCCAGTACATTTCCTAACACAGACCTGGAATTAGCCATTTCTACAAAGGACTCTGGCTCCTTTTAGTTAGAAATGGTTATTAGAAACTACAATCTGAATGCTAGGGATACTCATTAACATTGGGTCATTACTGCTTCTAGGCCTTTTCAATGGACAGTGTTAGCTTGCTATTTTTAAAGTAAGCACGTTTCTAGATTAGAAGCAAAACTTCTTGATTATATTGAGGAGGCCAAGTGCTTGCTGAAAGATAATTTATAAAACTTTTCCTAGTGTTTTTCTATACATCTTATATAGATGTACTTTAAAAAGTTGATGCTTGATTAAAAGTACAATTATATAAGATGTATGAAAACACACTAAGTCCAGTAGTTCATAATGATACTACAAAAAAAATAAATAAATAAGGGAGGGGTGTTGGGAAGATAAAATAAACACAGCAAAATACCAATGGTTATGAAGGTTGGGACATGGGATTTCTTTGTTCTGTCTTTTGTATATGGTTGAAGAAAGTTTTGCAATAAAATTTTTAAAAGTAAGACTATTAGGAGAAAGTTATTATTTTAATATTGGACTTGGAAGATCTTCCACTGGCAGTGGTTCTTTATGGATCACTGAGAGCAGTTTAGCAACCTCATTCTCAAATTCTCTCAGTATCCTGGAATGTCATTTACATGGGCCAAGACACTTTCTCGTCTAAAGTGAGGAACTCCTTTTAAATAATCTTTTCATAAACTTTGGGCTCCAAATCCTTTTGCCAAGTTTTATATCCCATATCCAAATGATTCTCCTTGATAGAAAAGAATCAACTTCTTTCTGTCTTACATTCTTTATGGTTAAACTTAGGTCCAATATAGCATGTTACTACCATATCCCTATATAACATCATTGTTTGTTTTATGAGTGCACCAGTCAAGTTATGTTCTAAGTTTTCAAGCAACTTTACAAGAGATAATTCAGTAAAAATGCTGACCTTTACCAAATGGCTAGCTAAACTTCCAGCATTTCAAGCTAACCTAGAAAATGGTAATGGGGAAAGTTGATTCAGACGCAGTGGTTCCATTTAAGGCTTCTTTTTGTCTACTGTGTCCCCAGGGTCTTCTATAATTCCCTCTCCCTTCCTATATGAAGGGCTTCAAGTCTTTTTAAGGATGTATTAATGGTTAAGACGGAACTTAGAATCAGATCTGGACTGAAAAATTGGCTGTCACTCAGCTGCATATATAACCTTGAGCAATAGCCTTACTCTAAGTTTCAATTTCCTCATCTGTAAATTGGTGAGGATAATACCTAGTCCTCAGGGTATTGATAGAAGGATTAAATGAAACAGCATAAGTAAAGACACTGAATGTAATACCTGGCACATAGCAAACACTCTATAAATGGTATCTATAAAGCAGGATGTGAAGGAATGAGTTTAAAGTTTGGGTTACAAAATAAAGGAAGAATCATTATAATAGAGACAAAAACTTGAGAACTCATCACCAAATTGTTGGTAATTGTTTCTTTGGGAGGGAATAGGGTACACACTCCCTTTCTATGTTATAGATTTCTAAAATGTTTGAAGTTTTAAAAATAATAAATTTTTTAGTTATTTGGCTGTGCTGGGTCTTAGTTGTGGCATGTGGGATCCTTAATCTTTGTTGCAACATGCAGGATCAGGAGAATCCCATGGACAGAGGAGCCTGGAGGGCATACAGTCCATGGGGTCGCAAAGAGTCAGGACACGACAGAAGGACTTAGCATGCACACGCACGCATGGACTCCTTAGTTGCAACATGTGGGATCTAATTCCCTGACCAGGGATCAAATCCTGGCATCAAACCTGGTGCATCGAGAGTGTGGAGACTTTGCCACTAGACCGCCAAGTCCACGAAGTCCCCTCCTCTTCATTAATCTGAATTCTTAAAGCTCAACAATAATAACTTTCATGTGTTTATAACTTCCTTGGTAAGAAGACACTAAACCCATGTCTTTAGCAGAGCCACTTGTATCTGGTGCAGCTCTTTCACAAAATAAATACAAGGCAGTCGCCATCATCTGACTGCTACTCAGTGACAGCAACTACAGAAAGGAGCTCCTCCAAACAAATAATTCCCACTCCGAGAATGAGGTTCGTGGAGCTGCGTGTCTCCTTTCACATAATGACCTCACTGCGGAAGATACTGTTTTTGTTTTTGTTTTTTTTGGAAGATACCGTTTTAAACCATCCACACCACTTCTCTTCCACATCAGCTGACGTGCTCTCCAACACATTTTTAGGAGGACAACACATTTCAGCATTGTCAAGGGATCACTTATTTACAAGCTAACCCCATTTTATTTTTTTTAAAGGAGAGGAACTTAAAAGAATTTATTTATTTTTGGCTGCACTGGGTCTTCATTGCTGTGCCTGGGCGTTCTCCAGTCGCGGCAGGCACGGGCTACTCTCTGTCCGCAATGCTCAGGCTTCTCACTGCAGTGGCTTCCCCGGCTGTGGAGCTCGGGCTCCAGGGCGTGCAGGCTCAGCAGCTGTGCCGCACGGACTCAGTTGCTTCATGGCTGTGGAATCTTTACGAACCAGGGATCGAACATGGAGGGATCCCTGCACTTGCAGTTAACTTAATCTCTGGATTTAATTTAATCCAGAGATTAATTTAACCACTAGACCACCAGGGACGTCCTGCAAGCCAACTTCAAATGACTATTAATTTGTCTTCACTTGCTGAAACACAAATCTGATCTGTTTCTCCCAAAACAATCCAATGGCTTCCCATTTCCTCCAGGATAATGTCAAATGCTTTAGCTGAACATTTTAGAATCTCCAGATGGGGGTACAAATTGATCATTTCAGCCTTTCCCACCAATGACCAGGTGTGCGGATCATATCCCATTAAATCTTGTAGATCTACCTGAAGTGGAAATGAACACTTCCCTTTACAGTATTATTCTGACACTTATGTATGGTCTTAATTATATTTGTTCAAAATTTTACTCAGTGTGAACTGCAGCTCTTAAGAGGGATAGTAATAATAATTTTTTAGACTAGTAGTTACCAAGTAGAGTACCATGTGCTCAGTGCTAAACTCTGCAGAAACTCCCTCACTAAGACTCATAATGATCTAGTGAAGTAGGTATTATTATTGTCTTCAGATTGCAATGAGGAAATCAAGACTTAAGGAAGTTAGGGAACTTGCCCAAAGTCTTAGCAAGTAAATAGCAGAACCCTGACTGACTGGACACGCAAATTTGTCTGACAATGCATATAGTGTAACATTATTTCGTGCAAAGGTAATATTACAAATTTTACTCTTACTTTACAGATAAGGAAACTGAGACTTGATGAAAAGCTGCAGAGGCTTGCCCAAGGTCACAGAGATCAGTGCAAGAGACTAAAAAAAGGAATAATCAGAGAACAAAAAAGAGTTCTTATAAATTAAAAATAGGGTAGATGAAAGGAAAATTCGTTGAGTTTATCTTCAATGGAAGATACAATTAAGAACATCTTCTGACAAGTGAGACAAAAACACAAACAGAAGAGTTAATAAATCAATCTCAGATTTTGCTTTGACTTACAGGAGGTCTAGAAAGTAAGGACAGAGAACATTGAGGGGAATAAATTTTCAAAGAAACACTAAGGCAGAGAATGTTAGCTGTCTGCAGAAATCCTTTCTCCTCTTCTTCCTGGGTGCTAAGGACAATTCTCAGGTTCCCTTAAGAATTAGGAGGCCAAGTGACTAAGTGCTCTCAAATGGAATGTGAGTGGGAGTAACACAAGCCATTTCCAGGCCTGGCTCATAAATTCTCCCAAGTACTTTTGCCTTCCTGTGGGCTGAACTGGCAATCAACAAAGTGATCTTAGGAAGCACACTTTGAAGGAACCCCTGCTGACCTAGAACATCTGTTCTTCTCTATTATGTGAGAAATACATTTATCTTATAGTGGGGCCAGTACATTGTGGGGTCTATTTGTTATAAAGCCTAAGGTTTCTTATAATTTTAAACTACTCTAATACATGATATAAGCATATTGACCTTTCCAGAATTTAAAGACTTAATTCTCCAGTAAAAACAATATTTTCTACAGAAAAACAAAGTAATAGTACACTACATAGCTATAATAATATAAATGTGACTTTTAAATGAAGTAAAAAATTGTGATAAAGGATAGTGGGAGGGTGAGGGGAAGGAAAATGGAGTAGTAGTGGCAGTGGAAGAACGGAATTGTCACCTAGTCCATGAGAAATTTAACAGATATGTTTTAAAATGGGCAAATCAAAACTTAGTAAAAGCTCCTAATTCATAATATAGAGGTAAATAGCAGATGAACAAATAAAAAAGCTCAAAGTGGGTGTCTTTGGTCAAAGGGACTGAGGAATGGAGAAGGAAGAAGCAAAGAGCTGCTGTTTGCTGTTATGTCCTGCTTATTTATTTGGCTGCACCAGGTCTTAGCTGCGGCATGTGGGATCTAGTTCCCTGACCAGGGATTGAATATGGGCCCCCTGCATTGGGAAGGCGGAGTCTTAGCCACCGGATCACCAAGGAAGTCCCTATATCTGGTTTTTAAACTATGTGGCACATATTATTTTGATACAATTAAATATTTTAAAATACACAAGGACTTGGGAATTGAAAACAGATGAGATGGACTAGGTATGGAATAGCATGTGAAGTTCAAAATGGTTAAGTAGAAAGACAGAGAAGGGGAGACAAAAGACAAAAGGCTGCTGTCCCCAAGCCTTGCTACATCCATATTTCTGATCGTAGGAGTTAGAGTAGCCTCACGATGCCCAAAAAACCTTTGTAAACGAGCAAACATAAAAAAGTCATAATCAGGGATTTGATTATCTGACTCAACTTTAGGTTTTTAACTGCCCTGTAGTCCCATATACGTACAGTGATATTTATTCTATCCCCACATGGAAGCATGTCACCTGAGTAGAAGCTAACCATTGAGAGGATACTGTATGTGTGCGTCCGTGTCTGTGTATATTTGTGTGATGAGGGGATTCAGTCTTATGTAAAGAGGGTAAAGTGTGAATGTGAAAGTGTTCACTGCTCAATCGTGTTTGACTCTTAGCAACCCCAGGGACTGTATCCCACCAGGCTTTTCTGTCCATGGAATTCTCCAGACAAGAATACTGCAGTGGGTAGCCATTCCCTTCTCCAGGGGATTGTCCCAACCTGGGGATTGAAGCTGGGTCTCTCGCAGGAAGATTCTTTACCATCTGAGCCACTAGTGAAGCAAAGAGGGTAAGTGGGCATCCAGAAAGAGGGCAGATTGGGAAGTGTAAGCTATAATGTAATAGGTAGAGAAGACAGGAAAGTGGAGGAAAGAGGGGCAGTAGATGGAAGGAATTTTACTTAGAAAGCATTTTGTTGCAGCCTGAACAATCACAAAGACATAGATTTGGAGGACTGACTTCAAGCATAGCAAATATTAATCCAAAAGGGAACTGATCATATCTCAAATGATGCTAACGCTATCTACTTTTGACAACTTTTCCAAACTCAAACCTACTTTAAAGGGAAGCATACACCTACCCTTTGAGGAGCATAAACAGGATGTGAGGATGAGCACTAATGTACTCCACGGTAGGAATCCGAGTGCCTATCTGTCTTCTCAGGATGTTGTTAAATATCTGGGTCACATCCTTTTTTCCCTGTTAAAGAAACAACCAACCATTAAGTTGTATATCTTAAACGGGTGAATTGTATGGCATGTACATTATTTCAGAAGCTGTTTATATACAAACACACACACACACTCAGTCCATTTAATATGATATTTTCCCACCTGTGCATTCTTTGACTTCATTTGTCTAAAGCTGGGTACAAAAATAAATAAACAACCAGAGTCAAGGCAAATAAAATCAATGCCCTACACGCATAGTAAGCATTTCAAATCATTAAATGCATGAAGTAGAGTCAAAGCTTGTGTCTAAAGGCTTTATGATCTCTATTTTTACAGTAATAAAACCCAAGGTTAAGGACCACTTTTTAATTAGGATTGGGGAACAGAAAAAGATCTTAAGGGGATAGAAAGTTTCAAAAACTTAGGACCATAAACTGGCTTATTGAGAAGCTGATTCTACAATGCTTGTTTTGCTTTTATTTTTTTAACATAGCAAGAAATAATCATCAGTGATTAAATTATCACAGTAGGAAGTTTTCTGCATTTTGGAGCTGCCTTCTAATTCAACCTGAACAATTGACTGTATCCACCCTATTTTTGCAAGGCACACCTGCCTTTAAAATGAATGCATGGACTCTTACATACAATACGTTTCCATCCTTTGGTCTCTTATCACACTGTGTTTCAAAACATCAAAGAGTCTAAGACTGTGTCTTGTATACTGGCCAAACCTCAAAAACCATAGCTCTGAGTTTAATCCTGAGCCCATAAAGCAGAAAGCTTGCAATCTCAGCCATAACTCTTTTTTTTTTTTAATTCATAAGAATATGCTGAAGTAATATTTTTTTTTCTGTCAGCATCTTTTAGGCTTAACGGATTAGACAAAAATTTATGGTTATAAAGTAATGGGATTTTCTTTTTAAACAATTTTAACCCAAAGGTCTGTCTTCCAATGAGCCCCTATTCACAGCACAGCAGGGTCTCCCAGTACTTTCCTCACCCCATTGGACTGCTTTCCTCCTGATTTCTGAAAAAGGCAGTGGGCTTGTCACACAGACTGCTGAGGTAGTCTCTGCTACTCAGTCTAAACCAACGCCTTGGGCCACTATCACTGTTGTCAGCTCTGGATTTTAAACCCCTGCTCCTAGCTCCTCTCAACCCTTGTTCATTGTCTTACCTTCTACAACCAGTATTTCCTCAACTAGCTATTTTATATACGGTTTATCTCAAGTGTAGAAAACTGGCTCTTCTCCTTCATTCAACATATTATTAGTACATAGTGTTTTTATCAAGGGTTTAAGGGTAACAAAGGGCAATTACAGCACACTGCAGAAACAACTTCCAATTGAATCCTACACGTCACTATAATTAAAGATTCCTCAGCATTTCTGATTATCTTTTTCCTTAAGCCCCCTCCTCTGTCATGATTCTGGAGCCTTCAGTCTCCCTTACTCCATACCTTTTTCCTATCTCCTATTTCCTTCTACTATCAAAGTTAGCCAATGAGAGGACATTTTTCAAACTTCTGTTATTTTGCTCTAAAAAAGGAATCTAAGCTCTTTTCTTTCAGTCTTTTCCTTCCAAACACTGCCTGGAGACCTTACTTTTCACAGTGAATTAAAAAAGCCCATGTAGGTGTCTTCTAAACAAAAGGTCTGTTTTTCTCTGTAAGCAATGCTTCATCTTTTTTGGCCATCTGGCAAAAGCTGCAGCCCATCCCTGAAGAAATAATTTTCCTTTCCTGTTATAAAAATACACCAAAGATTTTACAATCAAAGAGATGCGGGTTCGATTCCTGGGTGGGAAGATTCCCCTGAGAAGGGCAGGGCAACCCACCCCAGTATTCTTGCCTGGAGAATCCCATGGACAGAGGAGCCTGGAGGGCAACAGTCCCTGGGGTTGCACAGAGTCGGACATGATTGAAGTGACTTAACATGCAAAACGCACTTTTTAATGTGGATACTTTAAGTGTGAGAAGAAAAGTTGCTGCCTGTGGGCTGATCTTTAACACTTCCAGTCCATAGAAATGGATAGTACATTTCTGCAAGTAATCTAATAATACTTGTAATGGTGCATTCTTTCTGAAAATACTGTATGTAATTGGTGGAATGCTTAAAACTAAACTGTTTTCAACTTTAATTGCTTTTCATTCATTCATTCAACCAAAAGCACTTATAAGTATTTATTTTCTGTGGGCTTGATTGAGGAGGACGGCTTCACCTACTATTATCACATTCATTTATAACTATGTTCTAGGTGACAATTGAATGAACAAAGTCAAGAGCTGTCTGGTCAACTACACCTCAATAAAGCTGGAAAAAAAAAACTGCCTGCAATTATCATGATAGTAGGCCTTTGTAATGATAGTATTGAATACCAGGGAAAATTATTACATCTAGTACATCATTTTGGAGGACAGGCACGTCTACAATGAATTTTATAAAGAAAATGTAAAGTAAGCCACAAAAGTACTACTTATCTACTTAGCTCTCTCCATTTGAAGAGTTAACTTAATCTTCAGCTACATGAAAAATTCAAATATTTAGAAAGATAAATATTTTTCCCCGAGGATTTTAGAGAGCAAAATTTTATTCTACTTGATAATGTAGAAGTCCATTTTTAGGCAATTTAATGACTTAATTCCCAAATAATTTTAAAGTAAACTTTCTTACTATTCCTCTTTTGTTACTAAGTCAATGCAGCACAAAGATGTGAAACATACAAAGTTTTTCTTTGGTCTACTCCCATCTCCTCAATTCTTGGCGAGCTCTTTGAACCTATGCTAGTCTGTGGTTGCTCAAGGCTTCACAAGGTCACCGGACCCGACAATATTTCATCCTTGACTCAGTCTTCAAAACATAACCAACCTTGGTCATAGTCCTTCCAGCATCCCACTGCAAATAAGGCTAATCTCATAAATTAACTCAAGCTAAATTACTGATGATAATAGTTAATACACTGCTGCTTTCAGGGAAACACTCAAAACAATAGGAGATTTATAGAAATCTAACACCATATTCTAAGAGCAGGGGAGTTTCCCATTTACAGTCACTTACCAACCAAATTTAAAACTAAAATAATAAAGAAACAAACATCAAGGGTTATAACAAAAATAAACCAGATTATATTTAACTTAAGTTTGAGAAGGAGAGAAGATGAAAATATACTATTTGGCATCTATATATTTGCATATGTATTTAGTGTTCTTCCATAACACTTACATGTATATATATTTTACTTAGTTTAATATTTAAAAACAATGCTGTAAATTCATATTATTCCTATTTTATAGATGGTAAAGATTAGTCTCAAAGAGGTTATGTTGCTAACTACCAAATGGCAGAGCAGGGACTCCGTAAACAATTCTAAATCTAAGCCAAGGGTTTTTCCACTATGCACAGCTCCTACAAATGTCCATAATACCTCATTTTAAACTAAATTAAGGAAACATGAAAGTGTATAAACACAATGATAAAACTACACTTTAATTCCACTAAGAAAGAAAGTGAAGTCGCTCAGTCGTGTCCAACTTTTTGCAACCCCATGGACTGTAGCCCTCCAGGCTACTCTGTCCATGGCATTTTCCAGGCAAGAATACTGGAGTGGATTGCCATTTCCTTCTCCAGGGGATCTTCCCAACCCAGGGACCGAACCCTGGTCTCCTGCATTGCAGGCAGACGCTTTATCCTCTGAGCCACCAGGGAAGCCCTTCCACTAAGTCTGGTTCAAAAAAGGAAATGGGGAGGGGCTTCCTAGGTGGTCTAGTGGCTAAAACGCCACACTCCCAATGCACTGGGCCCTTGTTTGATCCCTGGTCAGGGAACTAGATCCCACATGCTGCAACTAAGACCCGGTGCAGCCAAAATAAATAACTAACTATAAATAGTTTTTAAAAGGGAAATAGGGAGTAAGATGGGGAGGGAGAATGACAAGCCAAGCAAGAGGAAAAAGTAAGAAAGGAGATAATTGAGCAGAAAATGTCAAACGTAGAGAAACAGATAAGGGAGGGAAGGAAGAAAAAGACACGTTTCTCCCATCCAAGTATTAACCAGGCCCGATCCTGCTTGGCTTTGGAGATCAGGCAAGACTGGGTGTGTTCAGAGTGGTATGGCCATAGACAAGATGGGGGTTTCTAAAAGGAAGGCTGAGTTGAAATCTGGGCCCTGTGGGGCCCTCAGTCATGTTGCTTCTAGTCAAACAAACAGAGCAGCCTTGCCCTGCGTTCCTCCTCCTCAGCTCGAATTGGCCAAAATCTTCTTCCATCTATGCCATCCAGAGCAACTGTGAGCTAGTATTTCCACACATCCCCAGAGCCCCGACCTTATCCTGGTCTATCACTGTAATGAGTTTCCTTTTACTTCCTTGGTGACAAAACTAAAGCAATTTACTTCAGAAATCTCCATTCTCTTCTATCTCTGAGAATTAATGGAGATCCAAGCGCTTAACTGACAGTATCTAAAGCCTGATAGTAGTAACAAAACAACAATCAAATCAAAACCAAGATTTCCATCGTGAAATGTGTCTTACAACCAAACATTTCATTGAGAACTCACTGTTCTAAGTTAGGTATACCATAGATAATAAAATGCTTATACATATTCACCCCTTATGTTTCTAGATTATTGTTTTACATATTATTTAGGTAATTAGGTATAACTGCTTTCAAAAATGAGAGAAATATCCTATATTAGTAGCATTTAACAAAATTCTTAAATCATTGATATAAATGTTTTAATTAAAGAAACAGGCCTGGGAGGTACTACATTTGAATCTCAGCTTAGGCTCTTAGTGACCGAGTGACTTCGGGGAAATTGCTTAATATCTTTAAACTTTAGGGTCTTCGTCTACAAATCAAGGCTAATAATATAGTACTGATCATATACAGGTTGCTTTAAGAATAAAATGAGGGACTTCCCTGGTGGTCAGTGGCTAAGACTCCATGTTCCCAGTGCAGGGGGTCTGGGTTAAATCCCTGGTCAGGGTTTGATCCTTGGTCAGGGAACTAGATCCCACATGCCCAATTAAACCTGGCAAGCCAAATAAATAAATATTTTTTAAAAACTTAAAAAGAAAAGAATTAAACAAGAAGAGTGCTTAAAAACCGTACAACGTTCAGTAAGCACTCAACAAGTTATCTTTGATTATTATTGACCATTAACTACTTAGCTGCATAAAACTTAACTATGGTATACCTTTTGCTTTTTTTTAAAAAAAAAGATTAAGGTGATTTTAGAAGTTTTAGTGGGGAAAATGGGATTTTAAATAATATATAAATAGTAATAATTTGGCCATGTGATGCAAAAAGCTGACTCATTGGAAAAGACCCTGATGCTGGGAAAGACTGAAGGCAAAAGGAAAAGAGGGCAACAGGATGGGATGGTTGGATAGCATCAGCAACTCCATGGACATGAACTTGGGCAAACTCCAGCAGAAAGTGAGGGCCAGGGAGGCCTGGAGTGCTGCAGTCCATGGGGTTGTAAAGAGTCGGACACAGCTTACTGACTGAACAACAACAGTAACACAAAATGACAGTCAAATATTGGTAGTCACGTGTATAGAAACTGAAAAGCACAACTGTCACCGTTTGGCAGATGGTGTACCTCAAAGTCTATCAGCTGTAGGTCGGCTATGAGCGTCACCAGCAGCCCGGTGTTGTAGAGCTCCTGTGAGAGCTGGGCCACGGCTTCCATTGGGGGCTCCTTGTCACTTGTCCCACACAGAATTTCTTTCATTGCTTGCAGTGATTTCGACACTTCTTCTGAAGCCTAGGGACCAAAATATACGCTATTAGTTAAGAGTGAAAAGAAATTTCAAGCTACAAACAAACAAAAGCCACTTCTTGAGCCCTGCTTATTTACTTGCTTTTAAAATTCTGGAAAAAAATAAATAAATTAAAAAAAATAAATAAATAAAAAATAAAATAGATGAATTCCTACTGTGTAGCACAGGGAAGTATATTCAATATCATAAACAACAATTGAGAAGAATTTGAAATATACATATATACAAAAAAAAATTCTGTATAATTATTATTTTTATTAATTGAATGATAACTGTTTTACAGTGCTGTGTGAGCTTCTTCTGTACATCACCATGAATCAGCTATATATCCCCTCTCTCCTGAACCTCCCTTCCATCCGCCAACACCCCACCAAACCCAAACCCCCACCACCCTCCGGGTCATCACAGAGCACTCAGCTGGGGCCCCTGTGAGATATAGCAGCTTCCCACCAGTTACCTATTTTCTGCTTATTTATGATTAAAGAACTCAATACAGTCACAAACAAACAAAAGCCGTGTAGTAGGCACTGTTTTTTTTTTTTAATATTACTGAAATTAATTTATAAAAGAGAGATTTTAGTATTTCTACTTGGTTAATATAATTGAAATGATCTTTCTTTAAATCATATTCATAGTGAAATTTGCTACCAATTAATTATAAATTTAACTCTTGGAAATTAAATTCAATCCATGTTGAAGACTTATCAGTAGCAAATAGTCTTATTTAAAGCATTTGTTAATGATTTTCAACATATCCCTATGATTCTGATTTTTTAAATGGAATAGGTACAAAAATCACATATTGTCAAAACCCATAACTTTTGTCAATCCACTGATCCCTCACACATAACCATTATCTTCTTGTTATCTATGAAACTTAAAAAAAAGCAAAAATTCTCACTACATTCTAAAGAAAAATAGGACAGGGACTTCCCTGGTGGTCCAGTGACTAGTACTCCACCCTCCCAATGCAGGGGCCCAGGTTCGATCCCTGGTCAGGGAATTAGATCCCACATGCTGAAACTAAAAGTTCACATGCTGCAACTAAAAACTCCATGTGCTGCAACTAAGATGCAGTGCAGCCAAACTAATTAATTTAAAGAATAATAGGAGAACCTATAGAGGAAGAAAGTGTATCAGTGAGTAGGGCCTGGGGAGGGGAGAATGAGGTGCTGAATATATTCTGAAATTAGATAGTGGTGATGGGTACACAACCTTCTGAATAAACTAATAACCACTGAATTGCACACTTTAAAATGGTAGATTGTATAGTATCTTAATTATACTAAAAAATTATAGCAAAAATTTTTTAAAAACAGGTCAGGAAAATGAATAGGCAAATTAGTTAACACTTTGCTGAATATTTTAAAGTAGGTATAGTTTTAATACTTTCAAGTATTGTAGTCTAATCATAATTAAAGAAGGAAATAGAGAGAATAAGGCAAAATAATAAAAAACTAACTCATAGTAGTTGTTATTTAAAAAAATTAATTTCCAGATACATTTCATGATATGACTGAAGAAATCCTTAATTTATTAAATGTAAGGAGTTTTCTTAAATTGTGATATATACTTATAGAAGATTACTCTAAACATATATAGAGTTTAGAATAATTATAAAGCAAACACTTGTGTGGCCAAAACAGAGGTCAAAAAAGAGAACATGTTTAGCATCCCAGAAGCCACCTGAATGCCCTCTTTTCAGTCTAGAAGATTCCCCACCCAGAGATCAAACCGCATCTCCTGTGTCTCCTGCATTGCAGGCGGATTCTTTACCGATGAGACCCCAGGGAAGCCCCAGTCACTTTAGAGACAAACTGAATATGTAGGATTCAATGTCCCTTTGAGGGAATAACTAAGATACTAAAAAGGCCTTCCTCTGAGGAAGTGCTGCTCAGTAGGACTTTAAAACAATGTTAAAAGGAGGCTGCACCGGGTATTCCTGGCGGTCCAGTGGTTACCACCCCATGCTTCCAGTGCAAGGTTCAATCCCTGGTTGGGGAACTAAGATCCCACATGGCGCTGTGGTGTGGCCAAAAAGAGAAAAAAGGCGGCATTGTAGTAGAAACTGTCAGATGATCTTTAAACACAAACTTTTTACCCATCATTTATAACATTATACACAGTGTAAGTATTAACAGTATAACCTGTAGACGTTTAACTGTAAAACCCCTTAGATGTTGTTTTAACCCCTTAGATGTTTTTTCATTCTGAACTTTTTCCTTCTAGTTTTACTGAAATATAATTGACATATAGTCCTGTATAAGTTTCAGGTGTACTACATGATTTGACTTACATACATCATGAAATGATTATCACCATAAGTTTATCCATCACTGCATACAGATACAAAATTAAAGAAACAGAGGAGAAAAAAATTTTTTCCTTGTGATGAGAACTCAGGAGTCTCTTAACAACTTCCATATGTAACATACAGCTGTGTTAATCACATTTATCATGCTGCATCTTATATTCCTAGTACTTTCTTACCTTTCAACCAGAAGATTGCCTACATCCAATTCCTTCTTCCCAGCACCCCTGCCTCTGGTAACCACAAATCTGATCTCTCTTTCTGAGTTTGTTTGCTCATATGTTTTTGAAGTATAATTGACCTATAACACTATGTCAGTTTCTGTTACACAACATAGTGCTTCTACATTTCTATACATTTCTAAAATGTGTAAGTCTAGTTACGATCTGTGGCCATACAAAGACACTACTTAGTTATTAATTATATTCTCCACACCATCTCTTTCATACCCATGCAACGGGAAGTCTGTACTTCTTAATCTCCCTCACCAACTCCTTCCCCCAACCCCAACACCAACCCCACCTCCCCTCGGACAATAACTGTTTCTCCTTAATATTGTTTTGTTTTTTAGATTCCACATATAAGTGAAATTGCACAGTGTTTGTCTTTCTCTGACTTATTTCACTTAGCATAGTGAACCTCTAGGTCTATCCAAGTTGTTGCAAATGGCAAGATGTCCTTTCCTTTTTATGACTGAGTAATATTCTGTTACTCCTTAAGTCTAGAGGATCCAAGGTTGTTCTGAGGCTCTAGAAAATGAATGAAGAGTTCAAGACAACAGATTCAATAATTATCAATGGCGTAAGACCTGAAACCAATTTAAATGTATTCACAAAGACCCTGAGAGTGCATTGCAGAACATGTTTAGGATTCTTCTTTAAGTTTTTACATTGGCTTTTGGTCTATTCATGTACTTTAATAACATTATTGTTTTAGCTCATACCTTATCTGTCTTTTTGTCTTGCTTTTCCAAAATGGCCAAGTTGTCTCTCAGAATTTTCACGATTTCTGCTGGATTTTTGTGTGATTTACTAAACAGAGGCATTTTTTCATTTATAGAAATCTCTTCATGTAATACAGAATGCTAAAAACAAGTAAACAAATAAAAATTATGATTCTAATTCTAACATGATTAAATTGTTATACCAAAATGTCATGTTTTCAACAACCAATTCAGTAATATGGAACATTAAAATCAATCAAACTAAAACAAGTTTTAAGTTACATGCCAAATTTAAGTTAATGTAAAATATTTCAAGAAATACATTTTTAAAGGTTTACCTAAAAGTTTTTACTCAGAGTTTAATATCTTTCTTATAAGAGAAATTAAAGATTTATGCAAGAATTGGAAAAGTATTCTTAGAGAATAAGCTGATACTTAAAACTAGATATTTCCACTAAAGAGAGTGAGGAAGATGGTGATATTAATGATGATAAATAAAATAGAACATGTAAAACAAAAGTCAGACTAGGATCCACAGATCTGGTAAAGCAATATTTTAAAACATTCCACTCCATAGCAATCACAAAATTACAATGTAAAATTATTTAGAATCTGTTGTTGTTTTTTTTAACTCTCCAAATATTCATCTGCCATACTCACTGATGAAATGAGGATTACTGTGATGGGTGGAAGTGGGGAAGTGAGGAGGAGGGGGAAAGAAAAATCAGTTCTTTTTGAGAACATCTATTTGCATAGAGCAGAAAAAGCCAAATATAGCTATCATCACCCTATTTATACTAAAAATGTGCTAGGGAAAAAGATCTTAATTAAAGGCTCCAGTTAGGAGAAACATATTTATTTGTTTTACATTTATTAGCAAAAATATGTCAAACATTACAGAAATATGATGTAATTAATCAAAAGCTCCCATTAACCAGTGATCCAGAGGTAACAACTGTTATCAGATTTTATACATATTCCCCCTTAATTTTTCTCTCTATATATAAAAATATATTTTTAAAACCAAAATATAAATACTAAAAACAGTATTTTTAGGACTGTAGTATTTTTTTAGGCTTTCCCTATGGAAGAAAGCAAAGAGAAACTAAAGAACCTCTTGGTGAAAGGGGAGAGTGAAAACATTGGCTTAAAACTCAACATTCAAAAAACTAAGATCATGGCACCTGGGCCTATCACCTCATGGCAAATAGATAGGGAAGCAATGGAAACAGTGACAGACATTATTTTCTTGGGTTCCAAAATCACTGCGGGCGGTGACTGCAGCCATGAAATTAAAAAATGCTTGCTCCTTGGAGGAAAAGCTATGACAAATCTAGACAGTATACTAAAAAGCAGAGATATCATGTTGCTGACAAAGGTCTGTCTAGTCAAAGCTATGGTTTTTCCAGTAGTCATGTATGGATGTGAGACCTGGACCATAAAGAAGGCTGAGCACCGAAGAATTGATGCTTTTGAGCTCTGGTGTTGGAGAAGACTCTTGAGAGTCCCTTGGACTGCAAGGAAATCAAACCAGTCAATCCTAAAGGAAATCAGCCTTGAATTTTCACTGAAAAGACAGATGCTGAAACTGAAGCTCCAATACTTTGGCCACCTGATGCGAAGAGCCAACTCACTGGAAAAGACCCCGATGCTAGGCAAGACTGAGGGAAGAAGGAGAAGGGGACGACAGAGGATGAGATGGTGGCATGGCATCACCAACTCAGAGGATATGAATTTGAGCAAACTCAGGAGATAGTGAAGGACAGGAAAGCCTGGTGTGCTGCAGTCCACAATTCACAAAGAGTCGGACACAACTGAGCGACTGAACAACAACAGCATCTATTACACAGACATATAATTACTAGGAGTATTTAGTAATTTCTTATTCAATTTTATTTTACCAATACCTCTACAGAAATACTTCTGGGTTAACTCCATTTTCCCTCATATTTTTCTTATTAACAATAATGCAGTTAATCAGTGAAGAATATTACACACAAATGTATAACAGCAACTGATAGCAATACTCTAACCAGTTATGCATCCAGCATAATCTTGATTACGGTTCTAAACACTACATCCCCTAGATTCCTACTTCCCAAATCTGCTTCCCTAGGATTTCTGTCAAATCTCTGAGCTACCTGATATCCTTCCAAAAATTTTCTTCAGTATTTGTTGTTTGTGATCAAGAATTATAATGCTGGCATTCAACGTATCTGCTAAACAAACATGAGGTATTTAAATCCTAATCTAGTTCTGACTTGGTAACTGACCCACTATGATTCAGAACTTATCATGCTTCTCTACATATCATTTAAGTTTTTAATAAGTGTTTTTTTAAACTAACTGTGAATTCATCTTGTCATAACATTTTTTTCCATTTATTTTTATTAGTTGGAGGCTAATTACTTTACAATATTGTAGTGGTTTTTGCCATACATTGACATGAATCAGCCATGGATTTACATGTGTTCTCCATCCCGATCCCCCCTCCCACCTCTGGGCCTTCCCAGTGCACCAGCCCTGAGCACTTGTCTCATGCATCTAACCTGGGCTGGTGATCTGTTTCACCCTTGATAGTATACTTGTTTCACTGCTGTTCTCTCAGAACATCCCACCCTCGCCTTCTCCCACAGAGTCTAAAAGTCTGTTCTGTACATCTGTGTCTCTTTTTCTGTTTTGCATATAGGGTTATCGTTACTATCTTTTTAAATTCCATATATATGTGTTAGTATACTGTATTGGTCTTTATCTTTCTGGCTTACTTCACTCTGTATAATGGGCTCCAGTTTCATCCATCTCATTAGAACTGATTCAAATGAATTCTTTTTAATGGCTGAGTAACATTCCATAGTGTGTATGTACCACATTGTCATAACATTTAACTCATATTTTTTTCTATCTCACTCACAAAGATATCAGGACAAATGTTGCCAAAGGCTCTGAGAAAGCCCACATACATTCGGTTAGTACCAAGTAAGTTACCTTATTTTATTTTTTAATACATCCCCATGACTTACTTAGTTTATGACTGAAAGTTTGTACCTTTTGACCCCGTTCACCCATTTCATCCACACCCCACCCTCTGCCTCTGGCAACCACCAATCCATTCTGTGTATCTATAAGCTTGGCTTCTGTTTCTTAGTTTTTTAGATTCCACATATAAGTGAGGTCATATGGTACTTGTCTTTCTCTGACTTACTTCACTTAGCATAATCCCCTCAAAGTTCCATCCTTGTTGTCACGAATGGCAAGATTTCTTTCTCTTATGGCTGAATAATGTTGTTTTATACACACACACACCCCTCACACACACAGAACGTTTATCCATTCATCCATAGATGGACACTTGGGTTGTTTCCATTATCTTGGCTATTGTAAATAATGTTGCAGTAAAATAATGTTGCATAGTTCTTTATGAATTGGTGTTTTCATTTTCTTCAGATAAGTACCCAGAAGTTGAATTGCTATACCATATGGTCATTCTATCTTTAATTTTTTGAGGCACCTTTATATTGTAAGGTTGATCCATAAAGAAAGATGGAGCATCATATTTTCAAATTAGATAGGCCAAATACAGTGAGCTCTCGCTTATTCATCACTGGCCCACACCCATTCTGAGTCTAATTCTTAGTATCTATCAAGGCCAAAGAAAAAGGGTGTAAGGGGGAGTTCTGAATATGGTGCCTCCTTGGGATAACATGGTACTAGTAATTTTTCCATAAATTCTACCCCAGTTTTTAGAACATGCATTATATTTCAGCAACATAGAAGTGGGAACAAGAGAAGATGCCGTGTTAGGTCCAACAGACCCACACTGCCCGGACGAATGCCCCCGGGGCACTGAAAATCAACTTGGCCTCCAGGTTAGTGGTGACAGTGGGCCACGCAGCAACACAAATATCAGATGACCGACAAGGGCCCTGTTGTACTTTTCCCATTTACAAAGTAAGTAAACAGAATGAACAACAAATAACACAGGTTCTTTTTTTTTTTTTTAAGCAGTACAAGAAAAGGGGATAAGTGTCCCATGGACTTCAACAGGAAAGGTTACTTCCAGAATTAATTCTCTGTAGGAGACAGAACAGAGATAACTGGGGGTGGGGAGGTAGGAAAGGAAAGGACTTAGACAAAAAGAGAGAACTGGTCAAGATAAAAGATCAACACATAATATACACACACACATATAGAAACACCCCCAGACGTAGCATGGCAATTCAGATCTGCGCAGGGCAGAAGTGACCCCATAGAACATTGACTGAGGACAACTAAAAGGTACACAATTAGTCCATATTTATTCAGTCAAAAAATATTTACTGAGTTCCTATAAGGTTCGAGGCCTTGCACTACTAAATGCAAAAGTTAATAAGCCTCAGAGTTCTCGATGTAGTGGGAGACACAGCCACACAGAAGGGTTTTGCCAGAACACCAGAAAAGCACAAGTTAAAATGATGGAGAAAAAAATAAATAAATAAAATGATGGAGATAAGATACTCTGTGTGTGTATGTATAGTATATCCTGCACTGGAAAAACCTGAATGAACGTTTTGGCCAGCCCACTATTATAGAAATATGGAGAAGATACAGTGTTATATCCTATAAAAACACGTATTACAACACGGAAAAGAGGTGGAGGCAGCCAACAAGTGCAAAAGGAACTAAAGCATGGAGTAGAAGCAACAAAGATAAAACAACTTAAGTAGAAAAGAGATCTAAATGTGATCATTCAAAGGATTTTTCTAGCTGAGATTAATAATGAGCCCCAAACTCAAGTGCGCTGCCGCCTGCTGCAGACCATGGGGTCGCAAAGAGTCGAACCTGACTGAGCAGCTGAATAACAGAACTCACAGTGGCTTTCAGAAGAAACCAGCGTTTTTCTCTTAAAGCTCATTCCTACAAAAATGACTGTAACAACAAAAAGCATCAAAATTAAGTTGTCTTTGGACTTCCATAAAACTACATGTCATGAAGCCATGGAGAGAATCTAGAGTTCTGAAAGGAAAGTCTATAACCTCATAATTAAATCTCTGGCCAACATATTTATGTGCAAAGAGACTGTGTACACTTTGTAAAGTTTTTACCAAAAGTTGAGATGGAGTCAAACCCACAAAAGCTCAACAAAACCAGAAATAGTTCTTGAA